CTGCGCCTATAATAACTCTAGCCTGAACGGCGAATGTATACCATTAGAGTAGGCAAGAAGGCTATACGTTTCTCTCTATGCTATCTGCCTCAGTGTAACAACGTGGTAGAACCCAATCCACTTTTGACATTTTTTTTAAAGTGACGTCAGCTCAAAAAGGCCTTCGCTGGGAACGCTGACGGAGTCGACCCGCAGCAGCGCGCTCGCGCAAATGACGGCGTGGCTGCGAGGATTGTAGTAGGAAACGCTCTGTGTCGGTTGAGGTGGCGACTTTGTTGTGCGTTCTGTGCTGCTGTGAGATTACGTTAACGACTTCGTAGTTGTGGAAAGCAGAGAGGACATTCAGACAGTCAAACTGTACCAACCTTTAAGTAGCTGTCGGTAGTGTTAGGTAAGGGTGTCAGCAACGTGTCATCTTGCCGAAGGCTTGGCTTCAGCGAGGCGTGGTTCAACCCTGTGTTCATTGTTCTAGCACGCAAGAGCGATCATAAACAGCGTATTGCGCACATTACCTAAGGTAAGAAAAACTATGTATTCCGCGTTATCTGGTGTCGCGTTAGCAGAAATTGTTGATCGCTTTGATTGAAAGGCTTTGAACAAAATTACTGAGTCGTCAATTTTATGTGAGCAGCGTTATGGTGCTTTAGGAATAGTCTTAGTACGTAACCTAAGATGAATGTAGTAAAATTCAAGACATGTGGACAGACTCTAACTAGAGATATTATCAAACTGTTCATTGGATTTTCGTGCAAGACAAAGTATATAAACTGTGATTGTAGGGTGAGTTTCATCTAACCCTGTAAATGTTCTCGTAATCTTTTCCTAGGACGGTTTGTATCCTTATTAGAGCCGTAAGCTCTATGAATATCTGCCTATCTACATAACATTTTTACCACTATTAGGCAAGCTCTTACGAGTGAGTTGTTCAAGATCTTCTTGAAGACAGGGGAACACATCGTGCATCTCATTTGAAATGCGTTCTTGCTGCTCTATTATGTCTCTCGCTTTGCCTAGAAGATCTAACACTTCGGTACCACTCTCTCTGTGATATTGTCCTACACGGCTTCTTAGTACTGTTTGATGAGTAGAGAGAACAATTTTACTAGCATCGACATACGAGGCTGCTTTCTTTGTCTCGCGCGACCTGCATTTGCTGGACTGCTTGTCGCTTTTCTTGTTACCAAACCCCTTAGTTGCAGATTTTATCTCTTTTAGTTCTAGAGCTGGATAAACACCATCGTCCCTGACTACTAGAGAGTCTTTGTAATTCTGAGACGATTAGTAATAACCACCAATCATGCAATACAAGTGCATACGTGATACAACATATCGTCCAGAATGGTTTCTTGAGAATTCATTACTCTCTTGACTTCGCTAGAAAGCAGGGACTGTGAGGTATAAGAGTAGTTATATTGTTGAAAGCATCCAAAGCTTATTTATATATCTCCCCTTGTCTCTTACTAGAATCTCTCCCTAGCTCCCAATACTTTGACACTTTTACTACGTTAGGTAGTTGCTGATTAGGGCGATAGGCAGATTAAAAGGCTAAGCTAGGTCTTTGACTCAAGTGTAGTGCAAAACAGTCTCGTTAAAGAAGAAGTAAGAATGCTGAGTGAGACTCTGATTAACAAGAAAACGCGTAGGAAGTGAGGTAAGCCTTTATCCTTATAGGAGGCTGAGAAGTATGATGGCAGAGCTGTATTCTAGGGATATCGGAATATAAATGGCAAGATCAATGCATAAAAAGATAATGCTGTTTTATATATGTACTTATGAGAGGGTTAGGCCAAGGGGTCTGAGCGCGTTGTCTGAGTGCCGCTTGGACGGTGTTCAGACTCTGGATACTCCAAGTAGAACCAAGATTCTATCGAGATTCCATCGAAGAGCTATCTGAATGTAGTCCAGCCCGGTTCACTCTTCTCCTCACTCTTTCTGACAGCTATACACGCTCTCCACCAACGATATGTATTTGCCCATCTATCCTTCACTAGAGGTGAAATTGCTTGCGTCGATTTGCGCTTCTAGGCGACTTTATTACTATTATATATGTTCAGCTGTTGCCTATGATAATCAAGGCTTAATAAGTCTACTACCCCTAGCTTTAACCAGCACGTGCGACATGATCTACCACCTAAACTACGTCGCCTACAATGCTAATTTCATGATATGCAGATTTAAACTACATGCTCATTATAGCTCCTTGCCCCTCCTCTCCCATTCTACAATGGCAGGAGACAGCGGTCGCGAGAACATGGAGCTATAGTCTGTCCCGATGATGTCCTTGTTGCCACCGACATTCTTGATCTTGAACTCGCGCACAAAGTTGGCGAGGATGGTCTGGAGCTGTAGATATGCGAACTGCTCGCCAATGCATCTGTGCCTACCTGCGCCGAAGGGGAGGTATGGAGAGTTGGTCCCTTTAGAGACCACACCCCAGCCGTAATCGATCATCTCTTCGTTGTTATCCACCTCCTCAGGGTTGTTTATGCCAGCGTCCCACCTATGTGGGTCCCAATTGGATGGGTTGGTGAAATTGGAATCCATCTGGGCAGAAAAGCCAGGGGAGCACATAACATTGTGGGAAGCGGGTACAACGTAGTTCGTGCCTTCGATAACAAGGGGCTGTTTGACTCTTCGCATAATGGAATGAATAGGGGCGTGCATACGCAGCGTCTCTTTGATGACCTGAGCGTGCAGAGGGAGCTTTTCAAGATTCTCGTAGGTAAGAGGGGGGAGATCAACCCCAAGTACGGACCTTTGCTCCTCAAGGAGTTCCTCGACCACCTCAGGCTTGGTGGCGAGACGGAGGATGATCCAGGCGATGGTGGAGGCAGACGAGTGCTGGCCAGCCATAAGCAGCGCTATCATGATGCCTGCAATCTCATGCTCAGGGACTTGTGTGCCGTCCTTGTATTTACAGTCCATTAAATGCCAGATCATGTCGTGTTCCTTCTTACTGACTTGGCCGGACCGCCTTTTCCTCACAATCTCAGAGTATAGCTGAATCATAGTCTCCCGAGCGCGATCGCGAGCAGCGTTATGAGGAAGTGGTGCCCATGACAACGCAAAGTTTATAGGAGAGAACCCCATATCCAGATCGTGATACAAGTCAGCGAAGCTAGAATCGAACATATTGCGCACCTCCTGTCCTTGAAGGGATCGTGAGGCCGTGTAGATTGTGAGCTCAGCCATAACCTTGGTGACGTTGATGGTGCCATTTTGTCCCTTAAATGCCTTGTGCCGCTTGATAAAGTCTTGGACCTCGCTGGTGATGAGGGGCACGTACGAGCGGAGAGCGTCGGTTGTCAGGCCGAACTTGACAAACTGCCAATGGTGTTAGCATGGCAACGTAGTAGAGTCTGGAGTTTATGCACACCTTCTTCTGTTCCATGAGTTTCGAATTGGGGCAGTCGTATACAACGTCTTTGCCAAAGACGGGTCCAGTGAGGGGATTGTAGATTTCTTCCGCATTGACGTCCTTCAGCTTGCCGTTCAAAACGAAGTTGTTGCCCTTGATATCCAGACACACTGTCACCTTGCGCCCCAGAAGGATAAATGTAAAAACATCTCCATACTACCTGCCATTAGCACCCTTAGGCCCAACAAAGCGGCGCATTACTCACCTTGGCCCTATTTGCGAAGAAGAAGCTATAGGGGTCAATCCCATATGTGACTGTACTTCCAAGGATTGGAAACCAGTGAAATACGAGCGGGGGCTCGTTGGAATTTTTGAAAAGCAATTGCTTCAAGACGTTCAGTACGACTGCAAGCCCGAGGAACGAGGCAAATGCGGCGAGAATGATGACGGGGGTGAAGGGTTTCACAGTGAATTCACCGAATGGGCCAGTACCTTGCGTGAAGACACCCATTGTGTTGTGTTATGGCCCACGAAAGGAATGTAAGATCAATCGCCGAGCTTTATGTTAATAAAAATTTGGCAAGTACATTTAACGTCGGCGAGTACGCTGCAAGCAGGCACCCATAAATCGCTTGGTGGAGCGGCGCGTCTTACCTCGCTTCCCCGCCCCAATCAGACGATGCGCAGTACGAAATTCGCCCCCTGAGGCTAGCTTCAAACCGCGCAGGGAACTTCACAACTGGAGGGCAGACCCACAGATGTAACATTCTCGCCTTTATGCCCCAGCAGCGTAAGCGGTGATTTGTTCTATTGTCGTCACCCCACCTGCGACCTCAACAAGTCTGCATACTGTGTAAGTACGTCCTGTTGTCCGTACACCGCACCCCGACACCACATTATGTTACTCACAGTGAAAAGCTTCTAGCTGCATTAGCGCAGAGGCGGCAGACGGCGGACGGAGTTATGCCGAATTAGACTGCCGAAAATCTTACGTTTGGGCATCGCAACGAATATCCTAGTCATAGACAAAGCGTATAGTCGACATGACTGAACACAAGAAGGACCAGAGCCTCATTTTCAGCTAACAAAGCTGCTGGCGCCAGTGAATACTGCAACTTTCTCCTCCAGGCTATGCGCATAGGCACGACGGCCTTCGCAGCGGGTTCGCAGGCTCTTCCAATCTGGTGGCCGACTGGATACGCTATGCGGTGACATAGCGCTAGAGGTTTGATCTAGGGTTGCAGGGCAGCCACCCCTTTCTAGGCCGTACCTATGAGGCGACGAAACAGGCCTAATCCGCGCTGAAATAGGCTTAGCGGTAAGGTTTCTATCCGTATCGAGCCATTTAATACCCTCTGGCAAATTGCCCATCGAATCAGAGGTGCACTCTGTTTTCTCCGTAAAATTTCGTCCGGCTACTGCTTATTAAGCCGTGTTGAGACCGGAAATAGGACCGATTTGTCCAAAACCACCTAGTAAGCATAGACTAGTGGCTCAATAAATAGCGAGACATGGTCTTTGTATTTTAAAGAGTTAAAAAGAAAGAGCATTCCCAACAAATCATCCGCAAAACAATCAGACTCAGACAACCAAACATCCAAGCCTTCATACAGTGTCATAATGGGCAGCCAACTCTCACTTTACTTTCCTCCGCCGCCCGTCTTCACCGAAAAATCACTTCCAGACCTCTCATCGAAAACATACATTGTTACTGGTGCCTCAGCAGGTGTCGGGAAGGAGCTTGCAAGGCTTCTGTACAGTCGTAATGGAAATGTCTACTTAGCCACAAGGTCAACTGAGAAGACAAATGCTGCCATGTCTTGGATCAAAGAACGTCATCCAGATTCAAAGGGCAATCTTCATTTCCTAAAGTTGGATTTGAATGACCTAGGGAGCATTAAGCCAGCTGCCGAAGAGTTTTTGACTAAAGAAAAGAGGCTCGATGTTCTCTTCAACAATGCCGGTGTTATGACACCACCTCAAGGCAGCCAAACGAAACAGGGGTACGAATTGCAGCTGGGGACAAACTGTCTAGGACCATTTCTATTCACAAAGCTACTCACTCCATTGCTTGCTGAGACAGCTAAGTCGAGTCCGGCTGGAGACGTGAGAGTGGTCTGGGCTTCCTCAATCGTCGCAAATATGTTCGCGCCACCAGGAGGAGTTGACATGCAGAATTTGGATTACAAGAAGGACAAGTCGGCACAACACAAGTACGCGGTTAGTAAAGGTGGCAATTCGTTGTACGCCATTGAGTATCAAAGACGGTTCCGAGATGAAGGTATTGTAAGCTCTGTAAGTGTCGCTCTCCTACCGTCTTGCGCATAATTGCTTGGTCTAATAGGGTAAAAGTCATTCAACCCAGGAAATCTCAAATCCGAATTACAGCGAAACACGGGCTTTTTCATGGGGTTGATAATGAAACCGATCCTTCATGAGCCCGTGTACGGCGCCTACACAGAGTTATTTGCGGGACTATCACCTGATGGAGCAAAGCTCAAGGAAGGGCAATGGATCGCTCCTTGGGGGAGAATCGTGGATCTCAGGAAAGATTACGTGACTGACGGCAAAGCCGGAGAGTTTTGGAAGTGGAGTGAGGAGCAGGTTAAGAGTTACGTCTAGAACTTTCGGAGATGGTGCGCCAAGGTGAATAAGAGCATGGATGACAAGAATGGTAGAGGCTGTGACATCAGTAGTTGTCATTCTTTTCGGAGTGATGTTCAAGATCAGAATATGGGATCATACTTGCGACATAATTCGGCGGACCGTGCCTCCGTAGCTTACAGTTCTCGATTATATCGTCGTTCAACCTAATCAACAGCCTTTTATAGTATCAACCCGCGAGAGTACTGAGATGCAAAAATTGTACATACTAGAAAGCCAAACTTGCGCCAAAAGCCATACTAGCTTTCCAGCATTGCAGCGTAAAGACAAACTACGAGGGAAGTTTAAAGCTCTACTGCCCCATATGGACGGATGCAAAATTCGCTTCAAGTCCATCACATTTACCATGGGACACCCACCGACTGAGAATCGAAAGCTCTACTGCACCACTCACGGCGACTTCGTACTTCCCTCCAAGGCGGTTAAGGCAGGTGATGATGTTGTCATTCTTTACGGTGGGTGTGTGCCTTTTATCCTACGGAAGGAAAGGAATATATTCGGTTCTGACACCATGTTTCTTGTACGAAGACAAGTGGATGAAGGGGGAGAAATTGGCGAGCGATCTTGTGATTGAAGAGGTTTTCAAGCTGATATAACTGTCTAAGTGAGCATATGTGGCTACTTTAGCCGAGATAGCAGGGCAAGTGCGACATGATGAGCTTATGATATGACTGGCTCAAAGTTAGCGTCTGCCCAGTTTGGAGCAGGCGTGCAACATGTTAAGATTTTGCATGTTTTACCACAAGCGAACCCTCAGAAAGGTGTACAGCGTATAATACAATATTATAGTCAATTCGCCAACCAGGTAGTTTCCATGGATCAAAGCTGCGATGCTTCTTTAACGCGCCACCGTCTTACTAAAGAACTCGACACGTGGGCAAACATATAACTCTACATGCAGCCAACAGAACAGATCTGAGCTTTGCTTGGAGATACCATCCCTTAGTATTGCAAAGGGTACTTACAATGCAGGACGGTAATTGAAATCAGTTGTCTTATCTGTCATCAATTGCACGCAAATTTCCAATCGTATCAATATTATAGCAAAGTTTATTACAAAATCTTAAAGGTTGTTCTCTCGCAGAGAATAAGGAGAGCTATTAACAGCCGAAGTCATCTCTGGTCCATTAAAGATTCATCTGGAAAACTCTTTCAATTTCGAGAATTAACATCCTACGCTTGCTTTTGCTCTTTGTCGCGATACTGCTTATGAAGTAACGCTTTCGTTGAGCCACTTGTAGACCACGCGAGCGTCTTTCCCACTGTAGCGAGGATCGTTCATGCACTCATCGAATGCTTTGAGTGTTGATTGGTCGAGAACTGTGCGTGCACCGACAGAGGCAGCCAGCTCACTTCCCATCTTGAGTACCTTCCTGCAAAGTTCGATGCGAAAACCTCCTTCGTAGTCCCTGCTAGCTGGCGTATTGGGTTGTATACCAGGAACCGGGTTGCTCTTTGAGGTAACCCAGCACTGTCCTCCACTGGCATTGATGACATCTGTTAAAGTTGCAATGTCCAAGCCGAGTTTTGATCCAATGTTCAAAGCTTCTGAAGCTGCCAAACTAGTAATAGCTGACAGATAGTTGTTGATGACCTTGAATGCTGTTCCGGCGCCAATATCGCCGCACAAGAAGATACCGCCTGGAGATCCCATCATCTTCAAAATATCTTTTGCGGTATCGAAAGTATGATCCGGTCGATTTGTCCCGACCATGAAAGTCAATGTACCGGCCCCGGCACCCATGGGACCACCAGACACTGGCGCATCAACAAAACTGAGGTAGTTGTCATCTCCCAACTCACGAGCTGTATCTGAAACAGATTTTGCCACGTCTGCTATAACATCGCTCTCAATTGTCCCACATTCCATGAGTAGTTTAGGAGCATGCGACTTCTGAAATGCAACCTTGGCCCCAGCTAAGATACCTGTTTGGGGATCACAATAGACTGATTTGACAGCAGCGCCACCAGGAAGCATGGAAAGTACAATATCCTAAACGCTTAAGGAACGTTACTAGCACTTAGTCATGCAATGGGGACTTACGGTAGCATTTGCTGCCTCAAAGCCATTTTTTACCACTTTTATTGGACCTTTACCACTCATTTCTGCCTGAAACCGGGATACGGCTATCTCTGAGACATCACAAATATACAGTGTCACTTCAGAGCTCATCTTTTTGCGAAGATTGACAGCCATAGGATAGCCCATCACACCAAGCCCTGAAGGTTTTGCATTAGCAGGACGATCTTCTGGGATTTCTCTGGATTTACCTATGAATGCTACTGATGTACGATCGAAGGCCATATTGACAAGACGGCCGAAGAAAAGCACGAGAGGTAGTACCAGAGGTAGTACTAGAGGTAGAGAATATCGATGTACAGTATCGAGAAGGTGATACAGCAACTATAGGTCTCTCCCATTCTGGGTGACAGTTGGGGTAAAGAGTCGTGGGGGATACAATGTGGGGTCAGTACCTTATTTGCGGGGAAAGCTGTGCTGGTGTATATATACTTCTTAGTACTACATGCCCCACCTTACTGCTTAGCAGCCTAGTATTTCAGGAACATTGCAGATTTCCCAAAAATACAACAATGTATGAGGAACTAAAAGAAACGTTCGTCGCGAATTTGGGGGAGTGGGAATGGGACGAATCATGGAAATTGTTCTCAGAACTTGATCCAGAATTCTTCAAGGCCAGTGTGAGATTAAAGGCCGTTCCAAAAAACAGCAGGCACCTTTCGCCCAAGGTCCAAAGTTTCATTGCGTTGGCCGTCAACTCTTCATCAACACACCTGTACGCGGCAGGTGTTAAGGCGAACATCAAGGAAGCTTTGGCTAATGGGGCCACAGGCGCAGAAATCAAAGAAGTCATCCAGCTTACATCTACGCTCGGCATACACGCGTGCAACGTCGGTGTCCCTACGTTAGTAGAAGTTATGAAGGAGGAAGGGCTGTACGATAGTCACCCAACGGCAGGAAAACCTTTGGACGCTTCAAAGCTTCAGTTGCAGGAAGACTTCACTCGGAAGCGTGGCTACTGGCATAGTTTCTGGGAAGAATTTCTTGCATTGGATCCGGACTTCTTCGCAGCATACACCAGCTTTTCCTCAGTTCCATGGCTTCCTGATGACCCAAAGAACGAAAATTTAGGTGTACTAGAACCGAAAGTGAGCTACTCGAACGGAGCGGCTCTTTGCATTTTTCTAACCTGCGTAGGTCAAAGAACTGATATACTGCGCATTCGATGCCGCCGCCACGCACCTGTATCGTCCAGGACTGAAAGAGCATATGAGGAATGCGCTGCGGTATGGAGCGGCTGTGGAAGAAATACTGGAGGTTCTTGAAATTGCGTCACAGCTAAGCATTCACACAGCTAATCTAGCTTATCCAATACTTGCTGAGGAGCTCAAAAGTAAGCGATGATATTTTTTTCGTTGGAAACCGTTTGCATGTTCTCGGGTACGGCCAGTTTAGCTTGAGGAGATGGGGGGTAGATAGATAACCGGATTCGGCATCGTATCCGGTGGGTCCGTTGACGAGTTGGACTGCCTCAATTGCTATCATCTTATATTAATTGCATTGAAAATCTTATTCATGAGAACTAGAGTGACCATGGAAAATCTCTCCCATTCGACACCTTGGAAGCTAGCAGCAATCTGGAAATGTTAAATATAAAGCGTTTCTACGCTCCCTGTGAGGAACTCTTCCAGGAAGCTTCAGAAGTACGCTCTGCTGTAGTCTTCGAGGTGATGAAAAGCTGGATTAGACCGTTTCTATTATTCTCCCGTTTTATATACAACCAGGGAAGAAGCAATGTGGGTTTCTCCTCATCCATGATCCGTCGTGAGCCACCACCACCTCAACCTTAGTATTTTGTTTCCGCAGTTCAGACGACTCGCTCAAACATTCTTTAATCTGCGCAATCGTCTTTCTTGCAGTTTCTGTATCCATATGAACGCTCCGGAGCTGACCATGGCCATCGTCATAAAGCGCAATGTCCTTGGTCCCTTCCAAAATGCGGATGTCGTGACAGCAATCACCCCCAAGATATACGCGACGGTCCTTGTCAATACGGAGTAAGACATTGATGTGCCCTCGTAGATGACCAGGGCTATCAACTATCAAGACGCTTTCGTCCCCAAAGAAGTCGATGACTGCTGGAAATCCAAACGCCGGCTTCCACTCATGATCAGTCTGAAGCTCTTTTCGTGCATAGATCTCATCTGCCTCATGGGCACATGGAAGCTCCTTGGTCCGCGACTCATCCAACATCTTCGAGTCGAAAATGTTCGCCGGATAATGAGGTGGAGCGCCCCGGGCAAGAAGATCAAGCGTCCCTGATCCTACTATAAAAGTCGAATTCGGAAAGTCTGATGGTGTTCCGACATGATCCCAGTGTACGTGGCTGTACATAACAATGTCGATATCTTTAGTGGGATCGAGTCCTCCATTTCGCAGACACTGTGCCACGTCTGGGTCGGTTACAATTGGCTGGCGATTGGCGATATGAATTTGCATAGCAGGCTCGTAGGCACTCAAGTCCCGCTTGAGGCCTAGATCCCACACTATTCGAGTTATCTTGCCGTCTTGGATTGGATCGCGCCTCTCTATTAGAAAACACATCGATGGTACCAACGTTCGTTTAGATGCATCGGCGTCGGTCACGAAGAGGTACTCGGGAAGGGTCAGATGCCCACCCGTTAGAGCGGAAACCCTGACACATGCTGGAGATTGATTAGTTGGTGGCGACATAAATGAGATCGATTTCTTCGAGCCTGATGTTTTATTTTGCTAATTTGGAATCGATTGCGCAGTGGGGTTGGTGGTACGGATCTAAATGTGGGGTCATCCTATGGTCACTAGAGACCTGGCAGGTAGTTCGACTACCCCAAATTTTTATGTGGGGTCACTCTTTGCTCTACCATCAGTACTAGAGTAGAGGTTATCCAGAAATGAGAATATATAATCTTAATCTGCAATGAGAGAGCTATAGCATCATCTTAAAAACATGAAGGAGAAGATACAACGTTTGAGACCGCATGGAACTCAGCAAAGAGCTAGATAAATACAAAGAGATACAGATCCTGGTCGTGACACTACACCACTTCATGAAAATAAGAATCATCCCTCAGACTTATTCTTTTTCCGTTCTTCCACTGCCCGGAAACCAGAGGTGCTCTTCCCGGTTTGCCATCACGGGGAAGCTCATTCAGAAATGCCCATCTCGTCCGCTCCTTGTAGCCCTTTACCTTCCAATCGTTGATGTTTCTTTCAGGTGACGTGGCCAGCAGTGGGAAGACATCAAGAAGCGTGTTGTCGTGAGCCAGACAAATTAATATGTCCGGGCTAGCGTCAAAGACACGTAAATAATCTATGCTTTCTTGCGACTGTTGCTGGTCCGTGTAGGCAGATGTTTCGCTCTGCGTGACTTTGTAAAATGGACTACGTCTTGCCTCATGGTCGTTTACCGTCCCATTCTCATTCTTCGTTGTAGAAGGGTGACAAGCTGTGAAAAAGGAACATGGACACGGTGCAGGAATGGTGGAGTCCAATTGCACTTGGGGGATTATATCTGGCAGTGGAACAGCATCAGATGGACGGAAGGCTCCTAAAAAGTGGCAACAGTCGCCGCCCATGAATACGAACGTGTCCGGCGTCGTTCGAGCGAGGCCGCATATGTGTCCAATTGTGTGCTAGAAAATCAGTAGAAATATCAATTGAACATCTCGTGATATACGTACGCCAGGGACGTCTAGAATATAGAAAGAGCCATCTCGAAAGTAGTCGTGAGCTCGGAATTTGCCAATTCGCAAATCATCTCGGAAAGTTATTTCATCGACAAAGTGCCCGCTGTTACTTGCGTAAGCATCGTTGAGAAGAGAGTTGTTGAATGACAAGCTTACGATGTGTCGCTGGACAACATAAACGCTTCCGGGTTGTCCGGATATCCGGGAAGAAAATTACTCTTAAATCCTGGTCCCACAACAATGTCGGTCTGTGGTGGAAATTTGGAAGCGTCTCCGATATGATCCCAATGCCAGTGGCTCCACACAATGGCATCTTTATCCACACTCAGTTAGTTTTGCGCTATTGATAAATGTTTTGGAGAGACTGACCTATACTCTGCAAGTCAAAACCTACTTCGGTGAGTATCTCGTCGACTCCTTTTTCTACCCTGAGAGACGGCACATAAGTGCCAATCATGTTCCGAGTATTTGGCGAGGCATTCCAGAAGTCTTTCCTCCCGCCACAGTCGAACAAGATCCGCCGTGATTTCGATTCATTCTCAACCAAGAAACACATCGTCTTGAAGTTCAGTCTTTCATGGCCTTGTATAACCGGCCGTATGAAGGCAGACGAATCACACACCATAGTGGTTGTTGTATCAATCGCACGAACCCGAACAGTTGAGTTAGAGTCTGGGATGATAATTGGTTGCTCCATTTTTGGGCGATTGACTGACGTGATTCCAAAGCCAAAATAAAAGCAAGGCAATTGTAGAGATGTGGATGTTGGAAGTGTAACTTTTAGTTCTCAGTTATTCATGATGGCCAAGAATTGCTCGGAAAGGATCCCGGGAAATATTGCGGGGAGGATATGTGGGGTCATAGAAAGAAACCGCATTCTTGAGGCAAATGGTACATCAATCATGCCTTGCTTTGAGTCTACTTCGCTTGTCTTCACCCAAGACGCCGCTCTCCGCCTGTACGCTGAACACCAGCGGTCATGGCAGAAGAGACTTTCGGCGAGAGCTTTCGGTACCCAAAAAAAAGCCAACATATAGCTGCAAATTCTCCAGTCTTATTTCCTTCGCCCAAACGCTAGATCGTGCAAGATCAAATCCTCGTAAGAACTAAACATGCGTGCTAATGAACAACGTAGCGTTGCAAACAACCCTTATCACATCGACATGTGCCTGTTTGTCTCAGAAAGGGGTACAACACTGTCTTTTTCATGTATTTAACGAATGATAAATCCTGCTCTAAATCAGGTGAGAGATTTTTCACTCTTACCTTTTTGGTCCATGTCAATAACAAGTTTCCCGCCTACTCCAACACGATGTTGATTGACAAGCTCATTCAGATCCTCTAGAGTATATAACTTCGTGGCTGCTTTGATCCTGTTTTTCGCAGCAAAATTAAGCATTTGTCTCAGCTGATGGTTGCGTCCCACCAAGCTCCCGATGACCTTGATATCTCGAAAAACGAGGTCTTTGGCACTGAACTTTAGCTCATCAGGGAAACTGACTACTACCATAGTACCGTGATTTCTCAATAGCTGAATGCCATAATCAAAAGCTGCCTGGGACTCTGGTAGAAATATGACTGCTTCGACTCCACCGTCTGTAACATCTTGTACCACATCTTTTGGATCACGTACAAGAGAGTCCACGAGTACTGTGCTCCCCGGGGTCGAAGAGCCCATCTGATCAACCACGCTTTTTAACAAGTTCAGAGGCTTATCGCCTCTGTCTACAGCGAGTGTCCGCTTTCCAAGATGAGCCGCAAATTGAACGCCGAGATGGCCAAGCCCACCACCCGCACCAATTATCGCAATGGTGTTGGCCTCTTTGACACGCTCAAGCGCAGACCATATGGTTAGTCCGGCGCACATAAGAGGTGCTGCTTCTAAAGCTGTCATATCTTCTGGAATAGGTGCGACTTGCTGACTGTCAACCAAAGCGTATTCGCAGAACCCGCCGTTCATTGTAAGGCCAAGATTTTTTGCTTTGAGGCAATATGGCGAGTAACCCACAGGGTCGCCATGATCCAGCGTACATTCATCGCATACTCCGCATGGATGATACGCTCGGCCAGGAACTCCGACTTCGTCGCCAATTGCAATGTTGAGACTTTTGGAAACATCTGGGCCTGCGGCTACCACACGGCCTGCAAATTCATGGCACCCGATCCGAGGCAAATCTTGGGACATCTTGCCTTCGACCAATACTGCGTCTGTGTGACAGTAAGAAGCCGCTAAGACTTTAATGAGTAGGTCATGGCCGGTTGGTTCTGTCGGGGTCGGAATTTCTCGGAATCGGTACGGCTTTTTGAATTCCTCAATCACCGCCGCTCGCATCGTAGAAGGGATACTGTACGGCGGCATCATGCTGCTCAATAGATGGCTGTCGAGTAATGGCACTTTCGTGTATGTCCACGTCGTTCTGATATGACCGAATTCATTAGCTTGGAGATAGTCGAACCCCCGCACTGCCCCACAATGCTTGTTAGCGTATCCGGTCTACCCCACTTATCCCGATGGACTACTTCTTTCCACGACAGTTGCTCCTACGCATGGAGTTCCACGAATGCTTAGGAATCGCGACATGCCTCAATTAAACAGTCCAATTTGAACGAGGTATTGAAATTCCTACAGTTGCATCCAGCTAACGGGACTCAATGCGCACGGGAAGAGTCCGCGTCAGAACTGTGGCACCCTGTTCTACATAGTGTAGGAACTGGATAGGATACTCATGGTGAAGAATCTGTATTTGCTAAGGCAGACCTTGCTTGGTGCTTATAACTGCATTTGAGGTAAAGCGAAGTGACGTTTCATATGCTTCTCGTCGCTCCGAGCGAGATGTTCACTCCTCACCTACTAGATAGTGTTGCTAAACCTTAGCGCCAACTATCTATGGGTGCCAAAGCAGGTTAACTTTCAATTTCACTATACAATGGCTGGATATCTGCTTTCCTGAGCAAAAATCATGTCTCATTTACAGAAGCATCTCCAGGACATAGCTCTGCTACGAAGAGTCTCTATATTTGCTTCGTCGAAATGGGTTCGCATGTAAATGAGATTTCCATAGTCGAGCCTGGCCGTAGATGTTGCAGTAGAGTTTAAACCAAAAGTTGCGCTGCTTAATGGGTTCGTCAAACTAAAATCCCTGCGCACACATCATGGTCAAATGACAATGTACTACTATCTGTTTCACTCTCGCAGAGATCAGCCATCTCCCGCAACACGGTGGCGATTCGCGGAGTGATCCCCCAGACCCAGGTGTCATCGTGGTAGGGTGCGTATTGTCTTCCGATACCAGCAGCTAAAGAGATTGTTTCAGCGTCAATTATGTCAAGCTCTAGACAAATGTTTCGTATCTGATTTAGGAGCATAGCTTCCGACTGCTCCAACTCGATGCACTTTCTGACGAGCATTTCCATCCAATGCACCCATCGCATGAGAAAAAGACCTGATATTGCAATTAGACAAGTATGATACGTACTGATATCTAAACTCACAGCTGTTCCCGGAAAGAATAACAATTTCGATACATCAAGTCAAGGCAGTTGTTTTTTGAATAAACAATCTACCACCAACCGTGCTTGGTAACACCAGCCCCTCCAATATCTGGCCGACTGCCTTGACCACGATTGCATTCCTCTGTGGAGGTGTGGAAAGAAAGTTATGCAGTGCCTGGGTGATGACCAGTGCGCTGGTTTGTAAGGGCGCCGCGCCTAGAACTTCAATGTCCGCAACTGCTCGAAGATGACATAAACGCAGAATCGAGCAGCAGTTGAATAGTAACGGGCCCTCAGAATCGGTCCAAGGAACACATTGTGCATCTCTCGCTCTCAAAATATGCTCGTGACACTTACTCAGTGCTTCCGCGGTCCGGTCCAGGATTAAAGACTTCAGGTCTCGTTGAGCCTGCCCAAATGGTGACGAAACAGTGATGGGCAGTAAAATTTGCGATGTATGCCACAGGTGGATGGAAATACCATGCATAATCACCACCGCAGCGAAATGGGACCAAAACATAGATGGACTATTCTTCTAAAGATGATTTGGAGCACCACCTATCAACTGCGTCACACCGGCTTTGAGGCTTGACTGCTTGGTATACGATGATTGTGAAACTCTTTCTCGCCAAAGTTCTTCAGTTGGCGCATTCCAGACGCTATCGTGAAATGGTAAGTCGATGTCGCCATCCTGAAAGGCTAGAAGAGCAGGCTTAGCTCCATATGTAGCGGTCAACAAATTGCTTAGTATGAATATGGAGTGCAAAAGCCTACTTGAGTAAATATACTTCTTGGTTAGGAAGGCAGATGCAAATCGAGAAATCTACCCGTACCTCTTGGTACATTAAACTGACACCATGAATGCCAGTCAGAGTAGGGGAATTTCCGGTGTCTCTCGGAGTGCGTATCGGACTGCATATCCGTCATTCTGCTCCGATAAGCCTGCTTTCGTTGTTATTGTCATTAGAACTTGAATTAGACAGCGAATAGTCACGTTTACTAAAAACCCAAATTCCTTTAGTGCATCCGTGACAACATAGAGGTTTCCAGAAAATGCCCTGAACCAAATGAGGAGTAGCTTGGTTTGCAGTAGCCATATTGGATGTGCGTGAGACGCTCGCTGGGTCTGATCTGAAGGTATAAGGGCGTATTTGTATCGATCTAATCTTTGACAATCAAGGGATTCTTGCTTGTCCCCTTGTACAAACTCCTCAACTTGGGCAGAAAGCATAATTGCTACATCTTGCTCAAGTCCCATGAGTGACCCAATAGCGCACATCATCAAGAGAAGGGAGGAAGGAGTATTATCTAAGTCCAGAGTCGGAGTGTGTATGAAAGGCAGATGTACGCAGAATGAATCGAGAAATATTCGCATGTACCGACTCAAAGCAGAAGCGGCAGGGAATTTACGAGAGTAGCTTCCGCTATCCCTGCACCGGTTTTATATCATACGCAGTAGCTTGATATGATGAGTGTCTTTGATTGTGGACAATGTGATTTGCAATGCGATGCTTTCGTTATGCTGGGTAAGTCTTTGAAAATATTTCTTGGGGATGGTTGATCCAGTGTGTTGGTGGACCTTTGCTCATTCTGAATAGTATATGGTGGTGTCAGTCCCTCGCCGAAGATGTCAGCATGGATTGGGTTGTTGTTCTCTTGAATGCACAGGCGAAGGGACAGCAAATCTTCAGAAGTAGGAGAACAATCCGCTTCCAAAAATAGCATCGGATCAATTGGAAAGCTGGTAAAGGGCCCAGTGAAGTCAAAATGGCTTGTCCTCTCATCTACCAAATGAACGTCATTGATAGGAGCTGTTTCACAACTTTCAAGAGGCAGCGGAGTCTGTTTTAGAGCTGCAAATTCAAAGAGAGTTGAGTGAATATCATGTGTTTGGTCCAATTCAAGAGGTATATCGCTAGTCGAGGCGTGCGCCAACATTTGGTCGACTGGAAGGGAGGCGCAAGACGTTTCCGAGGTCGTCGAGCCAGCCCTGCCTGATGGAACGATAGCTATGGAGTCATTTGGCGCAGGCTCGTTGGCGTCAGTCTCTTCATGTGCATCAGTTTCGCCATGCGCATCTGTTGGGCCTTCACATGCCGCCACAGTTACTAGTGTCTCCTCGATCACTTACGAGGCTAGAGAGTGACAGCGATAGTTGACCGAAAGCTGCAAGCGTGTGTCAGAGTTGTAAAGAGTTTCCTCATGACGGACGACGAGATCTTTCCGAGCGTAACCGCGATGGCAGAATTTGCACTTGAATGGCTTTTCGTTGGTGTGACTGCGCCGATGGCGGACACAGTGCTCGCTCCTCTTCTACGCTTTCCCACAGGTATCGCAGACGTACTCGCGCTTCTCGCTCATGCCCGTGTTCAAGACGATGGTCGTCATTTGTCCTGACTGTCTGTATTATGAGTTGGCTGCAGCATAGATTCGGTGCTTACTGCTTGGACGTGTGAGATCGAGGATACTAGAGGGAAACCTCCGAACGGAAAACGTCCATCCTGGTGGCCCCACGTTCACCAGCCGCAACCCCGCGACTGCCAGCTGCAACCCCGCGTTTGTTCGCTCGCATGGCTCCGATCAAGACTCAACCAAGGGCCATTCTTTCGCAGCACCCGCATGCGTTGAATACCCCACAAGCTTGTAGCCTCGCGTCATACAATTGGCGGCCGCATCTAAAAAGCATCATGTTGCGGCGACTATTCAAACAAAAGCCACATCATGCTCGTCACGATATCACACAACCATGATGTCTCAAATGCTCCTCGTCGTAACTCTAGCCGGCTTGGCCTTTGCCGCAGCAGTCCGAACATACCTCAGAAATAGGAAGTACAAGCTACCACCTCGTGTCCCTGGCTTGCCAATCGTTGGAAATACATTCCAATTCCCTTTGGATCCCGTAAAGCAGGGCCCGTGGGCTGCCAGACTTGCCAAAGAATACGGCGAGATGTATGCCACCCTGATTGTATCACTTCTGAGACCCATTCTAAGATTGTATGCGTAGGTTTACCATTCGTGTTGGGAGATGTGACATGATTTTCCTCAATTCTTCTCGCGTGGTTAGAGAGCTTATGGACAAACGATCATCCAAGTATTCATCTCGGGCGGAAATGCCCATGTTATCCGACATAATGTCAGGTGGCAACCGCATTGTCTTAATGCCTTATAACGAACGATGGAGAACCATTCGAAAGGTCATGCACAGTGTTTTGAATAGCCGAAACATGACCCAATTTAGCACCTACCAGGAAATTGAAAGTCGCCAACTCCTCTGGGATTATCTGCATGATCCAAGCGCATGGTTCACTCATAACCAACGCTTCGCAAACTCTGTAATCGTAAGTGTTGTTTTTGGAAGAAGAATCCCTCCGGGTGATCCCAATCTTAAACCATTGCTACACCAAGCCGAAGCAATGGTGGAACATTTGCAGCCAGGTGCCACTTTGGTGGATGGGTTTCCGATTCTTGCAAAGCTCCCCAAACCGTTGCAATGGTGGCGCAAAAAGGGTGAGGCTCTCTACAAAGCATCGCTTCAGTAAGTTACTGGAAGATCACGGGGCGTTGCAACGCATCGTACACATTTCTAAACTACAAGCAGGGTATACGGATATGAGTTGGACAAAATCCAAGAGAAAATTGACGCAGGAAAGGCACCCGAGTGTTTTGCGCGAGAATTCTTGCAAAGTCCCGATGCTGCTAAGATGAAGGAGAGCCAGCGAATATTCATCCTGGGCTCCCTTCTCGAGGCTGGAAGTGATACCTCTCGTATGACGCTCAGTCAAACCATCGCCGCCATGGTCCTTTTCCCTGCATGGGTTTCGATTGCTCGTGAGCATCTTGATAAAGTTTGTGGCGATGCAGGCCGACTTCCAAAATGGGAAGACAAGCCGCAACTTCGATACATTTCTGCTGCCGTCAAAGAAAGCTTCCGCTGGAGGCCATTCGCCCCAATCGGAGTTCCCCATCTTATCAGTGCTGATGATGAGTTTGAAGGGTATCATTTTCCTGCCGGTACTCAAATCACTTGGAACAGCCTTTACATCTCACAAAATGAAGATGAGTACAAGAATGCAAAGGTTTTCGATCCTGCTAGGTTTTTGGACGATGATTTCGATAACGTGACAAAGGGTCACTGGGCATTCGGGCCAGGTCAGTCTGCCGTCAACACAACTTCATGTCATATGGTTATACCTAACAAGTACACACTCAGGTCGGCGAGCATGTCCTGGCTACAATGTAGCTGAAAGAAATGTCTGGATGGCAATTTCCCGCTTGATATATTGTTTCGACTTCACAGCTGTACCGGTAGGTCCCCCAAATAGCAATAATGCCATCGCAGGCACTGATGAAACTACAGGGTCACGAAATCGATCCTGTCAATGCAAACTGGAAAGATTATAGGGTCGCGCCTTTCGAAGTGGCCATCACCCCTAGAAGTGAGGCTCACAAGGCACTCATACTTGAAACATGTGCAGATGTCGCTGAAGCAAACTGAAGAATAGCTCAGTAATAAATCAGATGCAAGGACGGCTTGGTTGACAAGTGCCCCAATTAAGGTGTGTGCATGTGTGTAAACAGCACCAGCGCTGTCACCCCCAAGGGTTCTGCTATCCTACTCGAGACTCCGTTTTGCCTAAGGGCATAAAGACACGCTATATCTTGCAGGATCCTCACCACAAAAAATTGCCTTCTCTTTAATCCAGTATATGGCTATCGCTCGTACTTGAATGCTAGGCTACGCACGGGCTTTGCATCGCCAAAGGCAAAGACAGTGAGCCGGTAATTAATGGTCACAAAGATGTTCGATTGCTGGTGCGAAATAGACTTGTAGACCAGCTTCGAGGGGTGTAAGATGAGGGTATTCGCAATTAGTAGCATGAAGTGGTAGTTGCTCAGCTCAAGACCTCTTACCACGGATGCGAATTCAAGTGTCGCTCTTCTCAGATGGAATTACTACTAGGTATTAATTCCACTACCTGCTTGTTTTCAGCCAACTTTGTGGGCGCTCATGTGGAGAATTTGAAGAGGGAACTAATACATGGGGCATGTGGAAGAGGAGCGCGTCCAGACCCGATCTAGTGGGGGATGTCCCTCTACAGCCTCATCTACCCCACAAGAGCAATAAAGCCTCGTCAGCCCGGCTCAAGCACCAATTTGTTCAAGTACCATTTCCCTCATCATCTTTTGATTCAGCTCGAAAACATGTTCTCTTTGATAAAAGATCAAAATGTCGTCTCCAGAGAAACCATTTGTAGTTGTGGTCGGCGCTCGCCCCAGTGGTCTTCTCTTGGCTTAGTTACTTGTGCAGCGTGGCATACATGTGAAGCTTCTGGACCTTGCCGATAAGGAAGATGAGCGACCGAGAGCTACTCACTATGGCCCTCCCGCAATCTACGAGATGACTCGAGCTGGAATCATAGACGAAGTTCGGGAAGCAGGCTTTGTTCCCGAAGGCGTTGCCTGGAGAAAGCCCGACCTCAGTGTCATCGCTGCGATAAATTCTACTATCTTAGAAGATGAAGCGTCAAAGATGGTCTTTCTGCCTTTGAATCAATTATCTAAGATCCTTGTTAAACACTTGAGTGCTACGCCACTCGCCTCCATTTACTGGCAACATAGAGTCGTCGGCATTGGGCAGGATGACGAGAATGCATGGGTGGAGGTTGAGACGCCGGAGGGAAGAAAGGCAATCTTAGCCCCCTACATCGTTGGCTATGATGGTGCAAATAGTCAGATAGGCCACTCCTTGTTTGGAGATTGGGAATTGCCAGGATACACCTGGAAAGAACAGATAGTTGCTACCAATGTAAGCAGTATTCATAAGCCCCAGTCTGAAAGCCGCTGATAATCGACCTTAAGATCTACTACGACTTTGAGAAGTTCGGTCTCGGTCACGCAAGTTTTATTATCGATCGCGAAAATTGGTACATGGCTTCTCGAATCACAAACGACAGACTTTGGCGAGTAACTTACGGCGACATACCTGGTTGTACTGACAATGAGCTTAGAGCTCGGCAGCTGGAAAAGTTCAGGAGAATGCTACCTGGGAATCCTAGGCCAGACCAGTATAAGTTGATTGGTTTCAGTCCCTACAAAGTACACCAATGGCTTGCGAAGAAGATGAAAGTTGGTCGATTTTTACTTGCAGCTTTACTTGCAGCAGACGCTACACACTGTGAGGACACTTGTGAACTGACCTGCTGTGGCATTGAAAACTGACGCTTCTTCTAGTATGTCATCCTTTTGGTGGCCTGGGCCTTACCGGAGGTCTGGTCGACGTCTGCGGTCTGTCAGACTGTTTTGGTGGCATATACGAAGGGAAAGCTGACGATGAAATCCTGGATAAGTACGATGAGATTCTTCGTGCAAAATATACGGATATCTTCAATCATATCTCAACCGAGAATTTTAAACGGATCTTTGATCAAGACCCGGAAGAGGCGGCCGAGAAGGGTGAGTTCTTGAAGCTACCAAACGCTAACTATTGAAGGAGATGCGAAGAAGTCCCATAAATTTGCACTCGGGGCGAATGCAATCCAGTATGACTTTACAAAGCACTACAAGAGTAAGACCACGAATTAGAAGCAGGATAAGCTCCGGAAGAAAGTGAGTACGCCAATTTTGGCAAATGGAATCGGAGCTAGGGAAAGACGAAGCAAGCCTGCCAGAATCAGATATTCAAAGTAGTATGAATGCCAATGCCTCACGACTCTTAAACCAGGTTCATTTCAAATTTGAAAATTAAATAACGGGAACCGAAGCGATGATAATGAGACAAGATAAGTACCGAAAGAATGATAGCTCTAAACCGAACAATACTGATATAACCCTGTAGTTTGTGTACCAAATATCTTCAGGAAGATAGGGAGGCAATCTATGAGGCTATTTATCATGCTAGCTGCCGTTACCAGTCTTTGCATTAGAATGTTCACGATGGAAGTGTGAGGACGTGAAGAGATTATGTGGGAAATGCTTTAACCCATATAGAGGACCCAGTGCTCAAGCATAGCTCGAGAACCACTAAAAAGGGATTACAACCCGTCTAGCTATGTACCAACAACTCTTCCTTCTTAACAGCCAATGCTCTCAAAATGAAAAGGTCTGGATGAGTTTTAATGTTGATGGAGGAAAGATAGAGGTTCCATGTTTCTTAGATCCGCCTTTTTCAAGGAAAATAATGACCGGAGAGGCAAGAGAAAGCCATATTATCCCAGTAATACAGGGTAAATAGATCATCCGCCCATGTTTCTGGCGAAAATCTCTGTATACACTCGCTGTCATCGACAAGATATACTGCAATCTTTTCACGAAACTGTTGTATCACTTCTGCCAGGTCATATTGCCTGAGCGTACTTCTAATAAGTATTACAGAACATTTGCTGTGGACCTTCAAACACCAGACAGGTGTTCCTGAACCGCGTTGATTGCTTTAGTTCTTAATTCGACCTACCATGTGATGAAGGATGATAAGAATAAACAAAAAGATGCAGACTCAGACTGCATGGTGTCAGTGAAAGTACCAGGGATATCACGCGGTGCTCAAAGAGAAGAAAGATTTCATCTTTGTGAGTAGCTTCAGCAACCCAAGACTCGTAATTTCCTGAATAAGTGAGCTACAAATCTGCTCTAGCTTCTTCGCCTGCCCACGCTCTTCTGATCAAAGTCTCCAGAGATGTTGGGTCGACCTCTCTCACGTTTGCGTATGGCGATGCCATAGCTGTGGCTACGGCTTTCTCGATATCCTCTTCCTTCATTCCTAGATCCTTCAAAGCGCGACCCACTGCAAGATCCTCTAGTAACTTGTTCAACCCACGAGGCACATTGCTCCCACTGTCGGGAAGGACTTTGACCAATTTAGCCATCGCGTCCGGAACTGCCTTGGAGTTGTATACGACTGGGTGCGGGAGCACGATCGTATGGATTTCAGCGTGGGGCAAGTCGAAGCTGCCGCCCAACGTGTGGTAAAGCTTTTGGTGTAGTGATATGCTGGTAGCACCGAGACACATTCCAAATAGCCATGAACCTTGGAATGCGTCATTGGAAGCAGACTGCAGCAGCGAAGCGAAGGCAGTTGCTAGTGAAACTTGCTGACTTGATCGAACGCGATCTCGAAATTTTCGGCATCCTCGAAGGCAATGATGTCGGAGCACTACTCTGATCACTTGTTGGAAGATTGCTCCTTGCATAGCAGCTGGGAACACGCTAATCATCAAGCCACCTGAGCTGGCACACCTATAAGCTCTGCATCTTGCTAAGCTGATTGCCGAAGCTGGATTTCCACCTGGTGTCATCAATATCATACCAGGTCATGGCTCCACAGCTGGCTCTGCTTTGGTCCACCACATGAAAGTTCGCAAGATCGCTTTTATCGGCTCTACCCTTACCGGACGTGCTATTCTCAAAGCCTCAGCAGAGAGCAACCTTAAAAAATTCTCTCTCGAACTCGGAGGAAAGAGCCCAACAACCATATTCGATGATGCTGACTTCGAAGACGCGGTGACATGGGCTGCAATTGCAATTATTTCCGGCGAAGGTGAAATTTGTGCCGCTGGATCCCGACTTTACGTCCAAGACACCGTCTATGAAAGGTTTCTGAAGGCTTTCTCCGAACGATGCAAGAATGCTGTGCCCGGTGATCCCATGGCTCCGAAAACCAACAAAGGACCGCTCATTAGCGACCGGCAGTGAGAAAAGGTCTCATCGTATATCAAAAGCGCGAAGGCGAACGGCACTCCATTGTTGCATGGGGGTAAGCGAATCGGAAATAGCAATGCTATCAAAAATACAGCTTTCTTTGGTGTAACTGAAGATTCGCCTATTATGAGAGAAGAAATCTTCGGGCCAGTGGCGGTAAGTAACCTTCTTCTTTCTCTCTTAGAAAGGCGAAGAAGATGTGTGCATTGTGCACTGACCCGTTACGCTTTCCAGTCCATAGTCCATCGCCAAATTTCATGACGGAGAAGATGTCATTCAAAAAGCCAACAATTCCGATTATGGCCTGTCAGCCGCCGTTTTCACAAAGGATCTTGCCCGTGCACATCGAGTTGCGGACCACCTCGAGAGCGGCCAGGTTACGATCAATGCGTGGGGCATGTTGGCTGCTAACATGCCGTTTGGAGGTATGTTCATTTTTTCGCTTAGTAGTAGTGATTGGTTTATTTTGCTTTGTTTCTGGGGCTGAGAACTATTTCTGACATTGCTAAAAACAGGACACAAGCAAAGTGGCTTTGGTAGAGATGGAGGTTTGGAAGCTTTGGAGGATTGGACTACAGTCAAGGCAGTCAAAATTGTGGTACCGCGTTTGTAGTACCTGCTGGCTAAATCTTCCAAACGTGAGAACACCAGACATTGCCTAGCTGATTAGCCGTCTTTTGCGGGATTGGCGTCTATTCGGTATGCTAGATAACAATGGCATGAATCATCTGCAAATCCAGTATATCATGTAAAGGCACGCGGTTTGCCCTTGCCTAGTGTTCTCCGAGCTGTAATTACATCGTATGGGTGTGCTCCTCATTAAAAAAAACCAGACATCTACGAGCAAATCGACGATGTATTATAGCAGGGTTTTATATCAAAATGAATTGCACCGTGGCTGTGCAACTCACAGGGCTAAAAGTGCAATCGCGGGATTTCCATTGCGAGGTCCGATGAGAGCGAAGCACAATGGACACGCAATCTATGCGAGCAATTCTAATTGTGAGAGCGATTCAGTAACGAGTTAAATTGGTCGTTAGCACAGTTTTTTCTTCTCATTCAGTTATAACTAGTGCGGAGAGATCTATGTCCAGTTGTCCAAGAGCAAATCTATGGATAAATACAATGTGTCGCGCAAAGGGTCTTAATACCACGAATTACTTCCGACCTAGAGCTTAGCATCTACAGTCCCGTTTTCCTGTTCGAGCGCCAACTTGGTGATTGCCGCCGCCCGCGTACCTTGCTCAATAGCACCATCAATGAAACCTCTCCAGCCTTGCGCCCAGTCTGCACTCGCCATGAACACACGGCCATGGGGCTCCTGGAGCGCCTTTAAGTTTTTGGTAGCCCAGCCAGGAGAAGCAGCGAACCATGCGCCTTTGGCATATGGATCTTTTGACCACGTGTGAGACGCATATCCCCGCACGTTGCCACTCGGCTGAAGCTTTTTAAACTCAGCAATAATCTCATCGCTGTTGGTGGAATCTTGAAGCTTGCTACTCTGGCCAAACATCATGGCATATGTGCCTGCTCGGTTTGCTGATTGTGTGCCTTACTCTCGTTAGTTATGAAGCAATTCTGGGGGAGCGCTGGAGAACTAACACTTACCATTGTGATCCTTCATTCCGAAAAAGAAACAACTGTCTTTGAAATCGGAAGTATTTGCGAACCAGTTTCCTTTTACCGCGTCCAATGAGGCTATGTACTTCTCACCAAAGTTTATATGACCGTCTTGGATTGCATTTTGCTTCCCGGGTGCTAGTGGTGGCTCAAACTTGATGTCGCCCAAGCAGTTAAGTGGGATAGTGCAAATAGACCGTTGTACGAAGATCCATCTGCACAAGCAATGACTACCATTTTAGAGTCTTTGGTCTGCTTGATAGCATTGACCACCTTGCTGAAAATTCTGTTGCCTCGATATTCTGCTAGTATATCGCGGCACATGTTTGTCGTACCTCCGCCACCGAGTTTGAAGCCACCAACGGCATCGTACATAGTAGCGAGGCCATAGCCACAAACAGCATACCATCGCAATGCATCTGTCCACGCGAGGTCTTGAGCAATGCAACTGCCAAAGGAATTTGGCTGAGAAACAAAAAGATCCTTGTCATGTTGCGGTAATTCCAGTTGATTGAGTCGGTCTTGGCAGCTTAGGTGGTCATATTTCTGCTATGGCTGAGTCCGTAAAGGTTCTTGTCGGTAAGGCATCAGCTGACGTGGAGTCGTGCCGTCGATGCCAAAGAACTCCCCAGCGATTTTCTCAACCTTCACATTTTATTCAGCGACGTCATCTATCCTTTGCACGCTTGATCCTTCTGGCTTGTACAACATGTATTTCGTGTCTGTTGTTGCAGCTAAGGTCTTGAGATGCCTCTCCAGGCCGTGTCGATGCATCTCAGCGTAAACATGGGGTTGATGCCTGATAAGATTCATTAGCTTAGCATTGTATATCATCTTCCATAGAGTGTGTAATTACCAATGCAAAGATGTGTCCCCCATTTCAAGGTCCTCTCCCCATTCTTTCGCTGTCCATGTGCGGCCCCCGATGCGATCGCGAGCTTCCAGAAGCAGTAGTCTTATGTCACGATTCAAGGACAGGTTACGAGCAGCAACAAGATCACAAAATCCACTTCCGATCACGGTGACATCGTAGTGGTTCCTATAGAAGCGATCAGTGATTCCACTACATGAGGTACGTCTCAATATTATCTCTCACCAAAGCAGGGCCAGCAGAAAGTGACTTGTTCACAAAATGCATTTACCTTAGGTTTGATGTGCTTGACACAACAGCATCAGTTCTCAGACCTTTCGATATCTCCGACCAATCATACTTATGACCTTCATTCGTGTGCGACATCGTGATGATCGAGAACAATGTTGTTTAACTATCAAAGCTGTAGCCATGGTGGAATCATCTTGCTCCAAGTTATATCAACGTATGAACATCTCCCAAGAAACCAACAAGGTAATGTCAGCCGTATCGGCCATAGACCCATGCCATGACTTGCGACTCATGAACCCGCAGGACGCCATTTCTCCACTACTACGTACGTACCCAACTCCAATGCGGTAATTGCATCCGGGGCCCGTGCGCCGTCACCTGTCAATCTCCACATTCCCCAGATCCGCACAACGCGGAAAAATGATATAGTCAGAATCGAGTGGATCCAACAAGATAAGACGGGCGGCCTTTGCTCAAGGCGATAATGCGATAAGCCACAGCTGGGAGTAGCCCAGTCCGCAACTGATACGAAATATGCTTCGTATACGATACTACTAGTACTACTACTGCCCACATAACTCCAAAAGAGTCCCATGTATTTTCTCCTCCCTGTCAATTTGATCAAACTGTGATCTGTGCGTCTACTGATCATTTCACTTCGACGCTATCGAGAGTTGTGCGAAGCACACGAGATGGCAAGCAACGGAGACTGTGAAAGAGCGCGCATGTCTGGCATCGATGACAAGCCATTGCATCTGCTGACGCAGTCCGAATCCATATCCGGTACGTACGTGGGCCTTATTAGTGGTAAATGGAAAACCGTAGTTGAATCAGTCGCTTACCGCAAAAATATCACAACACAGCCGGACGGGGGAGAAGAAAGTCGTACCAGGAAGGCTATGTCTCTAAAGTCGTCACGCGAGATATCACCCCCCTCGAAATCGCATCGGTAGGCTGGAGCATTTGCAACAGTTGGGTGGGTGTTCTGTCAACGCTTGCGTTCAATGTCACAAATGGCGGGTCGCCGGGTCTTCTCTATGGTCTCTGGTTCGTCTTCATAATGTACGGCTTTGTCGTATACACGTTGGCGGAGCTGGCCCGTGTTTATCCTTCAGCGGGCGGTCAGTAAGTTTTCTTCTCCTCAGGTCTTTTGGGCCAGGTACAGCACTGAAAGCTTGAACAGGTACCATTGGACAGCGGTTGTGGCTCCGAAGTGGTGCGCTCGTGCTATGGTGAGGGGACCTCTTTGACAATTGTTTTGGATCTGGGGTTTGATTCGGAATACTGACATGACGTGTTTCCAGAGCTATGCATGCGGTATGATCAACATATTTGCATGGGCATCACTTTCTGCCGGCGTGGCAATCATCCTCCCGCAACAATTACTTGCTCTCGTTATCACGCACAACCCCTCTTACGAAGTCGAGCCGTGGCATGTGTTTCTGATGTACCAGTTTGTATGCGTGGTATGCTTGTTGCATAACATTTTCAGCCTGCGACGAACCATGTGGCTGTTTGAAGTCATTTGCAAGTATTCCGAATGATATGCATGGGTTGAATGCAGTGCTGACTTTGCACGGCGTAGTTGCGTTATCGCTCGCCGCCTTCATAGCCGCCACAGTCGCTTCCCTAGCACGAGCCCCCCATTTCCAATCGAGTAAAGCCGTCTGGATTACATTCGTTGACTTGAGCGGTTGGGACAACAAAGGACTGGTCTTTTTTATCGGGCTTCTTACTCCAGGTTACATGTATGCTGGAATAGATGGAGCCATCCATCTAGCAGAAGAAGCTCGTAATGCTCGAACAGCCGTCCCGAAAGCCCTTGTGTCGATCTGGGGTATAGGATTTGTTACATCGTTCATAGTAGCGGTTGCATCCATGTATTCCGTCCAAGACTTCACTGCGGTTGCAACAACAAAGACTGGGTAAAGCATTATATTAAGCTGCATATACAGGAATTGCACTGACATTTTGCGCAGCTTCCCTGTTTTCGAGCTTTGGCGCCAAGCAATGGATTCTGAAGCTGCAGCAACTGCTTTCTTGGTCTTCACACATGCAACTGGATACATAGCCGTCGCAGGGTGTCAGCAGACTGCCTCGCGGCTGACTTGGTCCTTCGCTCGCGACTCTGGCTTAGTTGCCTCCTCGAAGATCGCCCGCATAGACGGAAGATGGCAGGTTCCCGTATGGGCTCTCTACGTCAATGGAGTTATGACGTTCCTTATCGGATGTGTCTACCTCGGGTCGTCTACGGCTTTCAACGCATTTATCGGTACAGGACTGATACTTCAGCTTGTCACATTTGCATTCCCTGCAGCATTATTGCTGTTGACGGGTCGACCAAAACGCTTCTTACCACCCACCCGTACCTTTGGGTTGCCGAGTGCTTTTGGCTGGGTCGCAAATGTCTTCACCGTTGCGTTTGCTCTTTTCTGCCTCGTCTTTTATTGCTTCCCCCCGGCCAGACCAGTAACCGCGTCGAACATGAGTGAGTTTGATATTTTTAGCCTTTTTACGGATTCGAAGTTTCTGACAGATTTAGATTATGCGCCAGCGGTCCTTGTAGTGATAGGCATCTTTATTGTTGCAAACTGGTTCTTGCATGCTAGAAAACATTACCACGGACCACAGCTAGAAGATCTCGTTGCATTATAGTTTGAGAGAATGCTTCAGCCTCATTCATTCCAGATGATATTTATGTTTTTATCTCTTTGAATGCATCTAACGATCAAGTTTCTTTGGACATGAGGCTAGAGAATCTCTACCAACACCTCATGTGAATCTGATATTTACGTAACGAAAAAGCTATAAACGTAGAAATTGAAAGATGAAGCATCTTTCCTTCTGCTATTCTTCCCGCACACATGACAGAACCTTCAGCGTGCCCTTTGTCCGTTTCGTCCATCGGAATGATTCCAAGTGGTGAACAGCAAAGTCTCTGAGCGAGCTGCCGCCAAAAGTCACCGACAAGAGGTGCCGAACGAACCCTCCGCGCTTGAAAAGCATGCGTGTGAGGAGCAGTCCCACTTCTGACGCATCTTGCAGGCTATGCTTACCTTCTTTTCTCATAGTCTTTTATTCCAGTTTCGCGTCTAGCCTACCAGATTATTATTTCTCAAAAAAGAACGGCAGGCCAACCCCTGACTTGCTAGAATCGGGTATGGAAGAACAACTATAGCCTGTATAAAGTATCCACATGGTCTTCTTCGTGATTTGACACTGAACACTCAAACAGTGGCCAGTATCTCAAGTCAACATGTCAGTAAAACCCATCATCGCCCCACTACACTCCTCGCTAATCCCCAAAACTCCCCCCTTAGGTACACAACGTCCTTCGCCTTCTTCGAGACACTGATCGAGGCCGGGGTCAAGAACTGCTTCGTAAACCTCGGATCCGACCACCCCAGCATCCTCGAAGCAATCGTCAAGGGCCAGCGGGAACTCCCAGATAAATTCCCAAAGATCATCACATGCCTCAACGAAATGGTCGCACTGTCCATGGCCGACGGCTATGCCCGTCTAAGCGGCGAGGCGCAATGCGTAATCGTGCACGTCGACGTCGGTACCCTAGCTCTCGCAGCCGCCGTTCACAACGCCGCCATGGGACGAGCACCCGTTCTGACCTTCGCCGGCCTCTCACTATATACCATTGAAGGCAAAACTCCGTATTCGAGAACTTACTTCATGTAAGTTTCGTTTGTCCCCCAAACTCCAAAAAGACTCTTTTTGCTATGGGGAAAGGGTGCGGGGGGGGGGGGTTCCGAAAAGCCATTGGATACAGGATGTACTGGATCAGAAGCAGATTGTGGCGCAGTACTTTCGGTATGTTGGTGAGATTAAGACAGGGAAGAATTTAAAGCAGATAGTGCGAAGGGCACTGCAACTTGCGACTAGTCACCCGCAGGGACCGTCGTATTTGATGGGGGCGAGGGAGGTCATGGAAGAAAACATCGAGCCGTATTCCATCAACTCTGCTGTCTGGAGACCGATTGCTCCGGCTGCTCTACTGCAGGAGGCTGTGCGAGAGATTGCCGAGGCTCTGGTCAACGCGTCTGATCCTCCTGTCATTGTCGGTTTTACAGGACGTAACCACGCTGCGGTACAATCCCTTGTATCACTGGCCAATACCCTCCGGGGACTCAGGGTGCTCAGACATGTGTTTTCCCGCGGAACACCCTGGCTGGCTCGGAATGAAATACGGCGTAGACGCTGCAATCGAGAATGCCGACGTCTTCCTTATCCTGGATTGGGACGTACCCTGGATCAACAAGCTTTGCAAACCCAAGAGCTCAGCAAAGGTGTTCCATCTCGATGTAGAACACCAGTATAAACTCCTTCAATGGATTCACTGTGGAGGCGGAGGCCTCGGATGGAGCGGTGGTGGCGCACTAGGCATCAAGCTCGCAGCGGACGCAGCTGATGCTTTGGTGCCTGGGAAGCTGAAGAGGTTCGTAGTGCAGATTGTGGGCGACAGGTCTTACATGTTCAGCGTTCCCTCGAGTGTGTATTGGATCTCTGCTCGCTACAGGATCCCCGTTCTGGCTATCGTTCTCAACAATCTGGGCTGGAATGCGCCACGGAGATCTATGCTGCTGGTGCATCCTGACGGCCCTGCATCGAGAGCTACCAAGGAGGAGCTGAACATTTCGTTTGCCCCGAGTCCGGACTATGTGGGCATAGCGAGGGCTGCGAGTAACGGAGAAATATTTGGTGCCCATATAGTCAACGGGTCCGAATTTGAGGCAGCACTGAATGGGGCGGTGGAGAGACTTGAGTGAGGTTTTTCGGCAGTGTTGGATGTTGCGATATAGATAGCCATTGGCGTTTTGGAAAAGGCTATTCAGATAGTATATCATCAGCTGTGTAGTTGGCTTTTGTATAGAAAAGTTGGTACTGCTTAACTTCTGCCTAGTTTTATAATATATAACAACCCAGTGGTGCGTATGCTCTCTTCACAATATCTCTTTAATAAAGTATGCATCAAAACCAGATACGTAGTGAAATCTAGTAAAAAGTCACAAAAAATCTAGCTGTACGAGAAGTCCAGGTACGTCCTTCGACACCGCCCACTTTAGCCACGCGCAGCAAGTATACTATCTTCCGTTCGCCATATGTTCAATGACATAGGGCTCCAAAGTACGTCGATCTACTTATCTGTAGGATCCACTTACGGGGATAATTTTTTTTCGATAAAGCAAATTACACAGTTAGCTTTGGCTGGGCGGAAGCTTTCCGCCTTACAGCACAGTGTGTTGAGCCCGATTCTAATTCCGCGCTGCACATCTCCACTTTGCCGCAGTCTACGGAGCCAGAGCCGCTGCACTGTAAGTAGATTCGCCAGTCTGTAAGTGGCTAGTGTGGTGCGGCGATACTTCTACTAGCCTTGTATGGAATGCTTTTCCTATCGGCTTTGCCTATTGGTTGATAACGCAGTACAAGATTAATAGCATATCCTAAACTCGCTGATGCAGGCACAGAGATGAGCGGAAGGTTGGTTGTAATAGTCGCTCCAAAAGTTTCTATGTAGTATGCCCATATATGCAAATATTGATGGTAACAATACAGAGAGGATGCCGCCGCAACCCCGACGCTGACCTGAGCCTGATGATTTGCGCGCTCCTGATAAAGACTTTGTACGTAGTGAAAAAGTACTCATACGACGAAAAACCCAAAAGGACGACGACATGTGATAACCTGACCAAATAGATACGCCGTTACATTTACCTGTGCTACCTAGTGCTAGACCAACAAGGTATGTCTATGCTTACCAAATTCGCAATTCAACGGGCTATTTTTACCGAATGCGGAGAGTACCAGATATTACAGTATACTTAGGCTGTAGAAACCTAAGCGAACAACCGATGCTCTAACATGGCGTGTCTGTGCGCAGAATCACAAGTAGTAAACACGGTACGGGAAAACGTTCCACAGAGGCGGGACTAATTACAAGGAGATATACAAATGATAAACATGCAGAATAAAGTTGGGTAAGCATTTGAACTTTGTTGTAAATACCCCACAGCATGGCGACCGTGGGGGAGGCTAGCACCCACTGTATAGACTAACTTGCTCCCGCTGTAACAAAGCTTGTTTCTGAAGAAACATGACGTCTTGCAAGACAAGGAAAAAAGACAAGTGAACGAATTTTGAAGATTATCCTAAATCGAGAGAGGACGGCCTGAGCTAACCAGATACCGTCTATGGGAAGAAGGTATTGTGAGACAGAGTCAAGGTTTCAAACTGGCCGTAGAAACACTTGTACGCATGAAATATTACACGCGCGCCTTCGCTTCGATGTTTAAATCAATCTTCCTCAGCGTCCTTATCGCCATAAAGAAGCGTTGTGGCGTTTGATTATCAGGCTACTTGTACGGTTTTGATACAACATGAGCGATGCAACTTCAAAGGTCTCCAGATAGTCGTGGTGTTCACAAGACAAGTTGCTAGCGAACCTCGCTAAAGCTACGTACTTACTACGTACGTAGGGCGTACAACATCCCAACACCACCACAACACCACAGCTCCAGGAAACACCAGAACTTTATAGCACTGCTCTCTCTTGCCTCCATCTGGTCGTAATTGTAGACCCTATTCCCATCCCATCCAAGCCCACCATGACAACACGTGGAGGCGGATTCGTTGGCAGAGGGGGCATGGGCGCACAAGGCCGCATCCAGCGCATAAAGACACACGTCCTCCCATTCACAGACCACACGGGCAAAGAAGCATTGATGATCTTTGAAGGCAGAGAAACATGCCCGCTTCCACCACTCTACAGTTTCGCCATGTACTTCACGCACAAAGACGTGAATGCGGAAAACGTCCAGCCAAACGAGCTCCTGGATGCCATCAGACGCGGTACCCCGCTGCAAAATTACCCCTGCCCCTTCCGTCTAGAGATATACTTTCTGCCTGCTCCAAGTGAAGACGCTGCATCCGACGAGGCCTGCATCGCGCATTATCGCGAGGAGAAGCGCAGCCGGGGAGAATACACGCGCCAGATCGACGCAATCAACGCTGAGAGCGGCACCGGTACTGGAGGTTTACCTGGCTTCGTGCCAAGCTACATCGACGACCCATACGGTGACTTCCACCATGGACGTCTCTTCAATTACCAGGGACCCAACTGGCGCACGGATAAGCGGCCTGTACACCGCGTTTTCTTCGACCCTATCCCGCAAGAAGAATATGCACCGATTGCGGAAGAGGCGGGGGAACCGGAGGTCCTGCAGCCGGTTCAGGTCACGCTGCATGCGATGCAGGAGAGCGACACTGAGGGTTTTGGCGCGTCGTTTGTAGGTATGACAATGTTTGAGACAGCGCATGGGAAGACGGAGAATGAGACGAATGGGCCGTGGCAGGAGGCCGTGGAGCGTGGTTGGTCGACTTGGTAGGAGTGGGATATCGAATGTTGACGGCCTGGCCAGCACCTCGATCAAGTCGCTACTAGTATAACGTCTTCTACTGGATTTATGAAGTAGCGGTCATCATAAGATGTCTTTGTCAATGGGCATGTTTAGCTGACTAAATGGCGACTATGCCCCCGCCCCTAATTATAAACACATTCACTTGCTTTGAACACCCCAGTTACCCCCTCCCGTGCAACCTTGAAATCTTGCACAAAAAGAACACTGCAACTTCCTACACACCCCGCTTCCCCAACACCAGCACACGCAGAATTAAGCTTAACTCGAGATCCCGACGCAGTACGCATAATCCGGCCAGAAATTCGTCGCGCAATCGTTCTGGATCGCAGGGTTCCTACATCGCAAATTTCTTAGCACTGGGCAAAAGAAAACACACAGCATATGTTCTTGTAGAGAGAAAAAAGAGAAACTCACCATTGATAAAATGTATCAAGCCCAATATTGTAGAGTTGGGAAATTGTCCAGCATGTATCACCCGCTAAATTCCTTGTTAGCCAAACTCATATTACAAATTTTGTGGTTGACGCGGGAGTGTCTAGCAATAAGGATAGTAGGAAGTGTGCTTACAACCAACAACGTGCCATTTGTTGCAATTGGCAACTGTACCGGGGTGCGTTGGACCGGGTACCGCGGGCGCAGTGGACGTGGGTGGCGCGGATGTTGGTGTTGGTGTGGGTGTGGGTGTGAAGGTGCTGGAGATGACGTCGGTGGGGACGGCATCGGTGCTTACGCAGTAGCGGTAGTCTAAGGAAGGGGGTTGTTAGATGAAATCGAATGAATGGGAAGGGGGGATGTCTTACTGAGCCATAGACCCGTACAATCTGGTCCGACAGAGGGATTCCTAGAAACCAACGATTTGAATCAGCTGATGTGTTATTGTGGATTTCGTCTTTTTGTGTAAAGGAGGCGGAAGAGGGGTACTTGGAACGGGGGAGTGACAACGGACATTTTGTAGAACTGTGCAATGGTGATGTGGTTTCGATCGAGGAACGACTGGCAAGTCATTGGTGGGACGACGGCCTCGTATTCAACACATCCCTCAATAGCACCGTCTCTGATCGGATAAAAGTCTCCTGTTTCTTCAGGCAAAGTGGCATTCACGGCCGATCCACCGTTGAATGCGGCCATGCAGTACCGAAGGTCTTTTGATGGCGCGCAGTCTGTCGAGTTAGTCACAAGAGATGGATTCCTGGTTTTTGCTGTCAGCAACTCCGCGCGTCCTTCTACGTCGTAGTATCTACCAATGACGGGCTGTCAACGAGATGCTTACCAGTTCTCCAATTGCTCCAACGTGATTCCCCATCCTGTAGCAAGTGCTTCACATGTCGATGAATACGCCTGTAATATAGTCTCTGGAATGGTCAAATTCGCACCGTTCATGAACAAAAAGCAATCTTTCCTCGTTCCCTTAGCCAACGGCGACGGTGTCGGTAACCCGAGTATTGGGGGCGCGGTATACGTTGCCTTCGGGAGGCTATCGTACGGTATCTCCGCCACAGACGTTGCAGGAGGCATGTAGTCGGGATGGCCGGGGTACTCATTTACAGGGCCTACAGGCTCGACGCAGTAGCTCTCAAATGCAAAGAGGTTCGTGCAATTGTCGTTGATGCCTTGGTTGAGGAAGCGGAAGTCGTCGAGGCTGATGCTGAACTTGATGACGAGAAGGTTGCAGTATTCTTCTGGCTGGACTTGGTAGAACTTGGCGCAGTGGGTGTTTGTGCCGTTTGCAAGGTCGCCAGGGATCGGGGCTGCAGTCGGCGTTGCAGTGGGGATAGGCGTGGGAACTAGGGTTGTTGTTGGGTTGGGCTCAAAGTCCTGGTCACCCGGCGGAGTCACGCAAATGGTGTCGCCGACGGACTTTTCGATCCTGCTACATAGATATCCAAGGACTGGGTTCCCTGATCACAGATGATGACTTAGTAAGCTGGTTTGGATGTTTCTGAGGAGTTCTTCTTCTCCTACTACAATGAACGGACATACATGTATATAGTTGCACCTGGCTTATCCTGTTCGCCTTCGCTATGTCGAGACAAGTGTCACCCTGCTGAACTGTATAGGTGCTGCAGCTATTCTGAACGCAGAGGTCACCTGTAGTAGGAAACTCCGCACAAAATGCTTTTAGTCCATTATCCGCAAGAAGCCAAGACGTAGCAACGTTCTGGGCTTTGGAGATTGATTGACAGGAGTCGCCAGACTTGATTGTGTACGTCGTGCCAGTACATTTTCCTGGTGCAGTGGGGGTGGGAGTTGGTCTGGTCAAGTTAGAGGCATGGTTCATGATATGTTTACAGTTATGGCTTACCCTTCAAAAGGTGCTGTCGAGGTCGCTAAAGGAAATCCGGTTTTTGAACAGCTTGCCGTTAAAGAGCTGTAATTTGCCTGAAGTGCGAATCCGCCATTAATGGGTGATCCGGCCTGGAACTGGTATGCCTTGATCACACAGTTATCGCACATATCGATTTCCATTTGTTGTTGTCTTCCTATGCATTTGTGAGACGGATACCCAAATATCATCATCAATGCACAATGATCCAGATGCTGGAGTGCACTAGACTTATAATGTTATTGCTAATTGACTTACTAACGATGGGAGACGGAATGGCTTCAGCAGATCCATTCAAACTGGCAGTCTCGTTGCCACCAAACATTCGTAGAGATGGCGTGGTACCATTTGACATCTCATATGCGACTCGATTACACCAACGATTCCCATCTTGTAGGCAAGTCCGGTTGAAGTAGTAGTAGAGCAATTCTGGAACGAATGAGATAGGTGCAGTGCGGGTGTCAGTGATATTGTAAACATCCGTAGGACCACACGCGCTATTGGCTGCTGAGCTATACGCAGAAATCGAGGCTGCGCAATCGGCTGTACAGGCCTCCTCGAGAGCATCAGCTTCAAAATAGGACCCTTTTGCGAAGGTGCTAATCTGGCGTGGACAGTTCGGGATATCTTTTGTCAGACTGGCGATACAATTAGCGGAGAGGTCGTTGGATGGCAATGTGTTTTTGGTGATGAATTGGAAGGCGTTGCAGCTTGCTAGAAATGTGAAAATAGCCACACGCAGCGAAGCTACTTGGAGCAACATCATGAGTGACATTACTGATGATGGACTGTCGGTCCACGAGCACTACTATGGGATCTGATACATCATGGGAACATGAAGCCCGTGCTGCCTGGAGACGCCCCTACCCCGGGAGCGTGCATATAAGGCCACCATAGTGTTCGTCATAAGAAATAAACAGAAGAGTTAGTGGGAGCCGTAGCGTGGCGGACGAAAGCAGCCTCCGAGGCAAAATCAGGGGGTGCTACCAATAGCGAGGCGAAGGCGTCCCGTCCTATGGCTCCCGAAGCCTTGCCAAGTGCATACATCCGCACACCTGCATACAATTTTTCGCCTGACATATAATCAAATTGAGAAATGAGAGTATATAGCCATGCATTAGATGGATCCTTCCGCCCCCAAGTGATTTTCCGTCGTTGCCTGCCAGCCAAATAGTGCTGGCTTTTGCTTGGCACTGGGGGCCAAAATTGGTGTCAACCATTATCCTGCACTGCACGCCTTACTTTCAAACAACGCCTACCTGCCAAATCGAATCTCTACTGGATATTACACAGCTACCAGGGTATCATACTATTGACGGTGAAATAGCCAATCAAGTCGTAATAATGTTAAATCTCAAACTTACTGCCGCTGAATGATTCCTAACTAGGTAGTGCTGCCAAGCAAATCCTTCTGAATATAGATTGTCTATGCCCACCGTTAACATCGTAAACTCTTATTCCCGAACAAGGCGAATCTGGATTTACTTGGCAAGATAAGAAGATTCTTCAGGCTACACTTGGCAGATAAACCTCTTACTGCAGGGTCCATTTTGGTACCTGACTTTTGCAATATCTGCGAGGAACGATCGGCAATCTCCCGCGGCCCCACTGAACACCACGCCTCGGCACTTGCATACAATCTGCGAAGTCCATCTGCTCCTGGTCTCTTGGCTTCACTAACTGTCGAAGTAACTGCCTATGTGAGGTTTAGCGCTTGATCTGCCCTGCAGAGGAAAGGGGCTCGTTCAAATCTGCTTCCGCAGCCGCACCTCAACCCTGCAATTGATATGCAGGAAGAACCGGCCCCAGCAATACTGACCCACATTTGCTGTGGAATGCCTGAGGGAAGTTGTAAAGCCTGCTATGCCTCTTGCATCCCCATGGTTACGCCAATACATCTCTTCCAGCCGCCTAATATCTTTCCTATGAACTCCGTTGTTAAACTACCTCCCATTCTTGTTTTCTCGATCAACTGTAGTTGTTGAGGGAATTGAAAAGGTAAACTTCTCAACCACAAGCATTAGATTAGAAGAATCTCATTCACTGACAGGCCACATAGGTATTTGAAAGCACTCTTCTTGCCCATGGTGGCCCACCATGGTCTACTTGTCATCTTTTCTCTGGCACTGCCTTCTTCTGGCTACCACGATCACAGCCTCCCCCGGATATGGTCATCATAACAAAAATGCCCATAAGTATCAACGGGCAACCAACGATGTCACAACACAGGAGTCTATCTGTTTACCGATTCCAACGGCCTTTTATCATCAGGACGATGTAGTCGCCAAGATTAAGCCTACCGAGGGAGTATGTAAGCTTGACGAACATATAACCCCAAAGGCGCGAGCTCCAGCGACGTCGCCAAACATTGGCTTTGATCCCTCCGCCCTCAGTTCACGCCAAGCAGATGATCCCTACTCTTGCAACGAGAACAAACCATGCAGTAACGGAGCTTGTTGCGCCAAATCCGGATACTGTGGCTTTGGAGAGAAGTCTTGTGGAACAAATGGCCAGTCCCCTAACGATGTTTGCTGGAGCAATTGCGATGCTCATGCTGAATGCGGTCGTAATTCAGATCCTCCCAACAAGGAATGTCCTCTCAACGTCTGTTGCAGTCAGTTCGGATTCTGTGGCATGACCGATGAGTTCTGCAAGGTTACCGAAGACGAGGAAACGAGCTGTCAGAGCAATTGCGAACAACCTGGCAGTGGTGCATCGGGCGGCAATGTTCAAAAACGCATCATTGGATACTACGAGGCATGGAACTACCAGAAGAACTGCATTGGCATGAGAATGCAAGACATTCCGGTCGGCAGTTTGACTCACATATACTACTCATTTGGATACATCCGTCCAAGCACATACGACATTATTCCCATGGACGACGGCAAACCTCTCTCCACAGACACATTCACTGAATTTGCTAGTCTTAAGCAAAAGAACCCAGCACTCAAAGTCGTAATTGCCCTAGGAGGCTGGACCTTCAATGACAACAACACGATATGGCAGCCAGTGTTTAGCGACTTGTCCTCAACACCCACCAAACGTGCACTATTCATCGAAAAGCTTCTCACTTTCCTTAATCGTTACGGCTTCGATGGTGTAGACTTGGATTGGGAATATCCAGGAGCTCCCGATCGTGGTGGAAATCCTAATGATGGCGAAAATCTTACCAAGCTCATGAAGGAAATGCGTGCCGAGTTTGATAAGTCAGGTGGTTCTCATAAAGAAATCTCTTTTACAGCTCCTACTAGTTACTGGGTGAGTACAGTCCGATAGCTGCTCTAGTTGTGAAAAAGAAAACACTAACTCTAAGGCAAATTACTCAGTACATGCGGCATTTTGACATCAAGGCCAGCTCAGAAGCTGCGGACTTTGTCAACGTCATGGCTTACGACTTGCACGGTGTTTGGGATGGTGAAAATCCTATCGGGGCCCAGGTTCTTGCTCACACGAACCTCACCGAGATTGGTAAAGCTCTAGACCTCCTATGGCGGAATGGCGTAGACCCCGAAAAGATCAACATGGGGCTCGGCTTCTACGGTCGGTCATTCCAGCTGGCAAATCCTGCATGTTCGCAGCCTGGCTGTCCCTTCAAGGGCGGTGCCTCTCCCGGCTTGTGTACTGACAACTCTGGAACTCTCTCGTATTCGGAGATCATGGATATCATCAAGGAGAACGACCTCACCCCGTATTATGACAAAGAACACGGTGTCAAATATATTACATGGGGTGGTGATCAATGGGTATCATATGACGACTTTGAGACTTTCCAGCAAAAGATTGAATATTTCAACGCCCTCGGTCTCGGTGGCATTCTCATTTGGGCTATCGATCTAGACACAAAACAGCTTGATGCACTCGAGGCGGTTATATATCCTGAGCAGCTTGGAGCAAGAGCTGAGGAGGCAACCACAGCAGACAACTGGCAGGACGCTGGTGAAGGGCAATGTAGGGTCACAGAATGTGGCGTTGGCGACTGCAAACTAGGTGAGGTTGCTGTCACGCAAACCCAATGCGAGGATGAGGATTTCTGGGATGGATCTTTCAGGATATCCACATTATGCTGTCCACTTGCATCAGCCCCCAAAGCAGAAGACTGGTAAGTCTCAACTTCATAGTTTCCTCAAACATCAAATACTAACAATTTATAGCGAATGGAGAGGCGGTGAGCCATGGTGTAATGGTCAATGCCATTCCGGCGAGGTCGCTCTACAATCATCCCTGTACGGCGACTGGGGAAAATGTATAGATGGCCGCAAATTTTATTGTTGTAAGGCAGAAGCACTGATGCCAGATTGTGGTTGGACTGACTGTGGTGGTTCCTGCCCTGACACTCACAATGAGATGACATGGGCGTACGATACATGCAGCAAGAATCAGAAGCGCAAGCTCTGCTGCAACAAAGAAGAAGGTTGGAAGAACTGTGCTTGGCACGGTAAGCCTGGTAGCTGCTTCGACAACCACTGTGACACTGGCTGGCAAGTGGCCATAACTACCCTATATGAAGGAGAGGGTGAAGACTGCGGCTTTTGGCATTCTGATCGCCAACGGACGTACTGCTGCGATCCACCAGATGGAAAATCTCCATTCTTGCCGGTACCACTCGACTTTCTCTTCAGCAACCCTCCGCCCGAGGCCGAAGCAGATACCGAATTCAACCTTAAGACGGATCCAACTTATGGTGGAAGTAACACTGTACCATTCGCAGAGCAACCTGACAACGCACCCTTTGGCTTCGTTGTCCTAACGAGTCCAGACACCCTACAAGTCTCCCTTGACAAGCGCGATGGTTCTCATTGGGAGGTTTTCGATTGTTTCGATTCGGTGTCTGAGGGCGAGCACACTGTGAGAATGATGTGTACTGATCGAAGCGAGTCATCCAATTGCGACAAGATATACCTAGGTCACGGAGCCCCTGGTACCATTGTCGAGATGCCCTCTGGCTGCGGACCGGGCAAATATGCTGTGGTAAAGACGCTTGAGCTCAGCAAAGACCAGGGCTTGCCTCACCACCTCGTGAAGCGCGGCATGACAGTGGTTGATCCTATTTACGACCTGACATTCGATTATCAATTCAAGAGAGTCCCACGCGATCTTGGCAACACTCAGATGAGAATTGACTTCAGCAACGAACCAGAGTATTGGAACAATATCGTCAACAAGACTGCTAGTAGTAAGCGACGAAAGAGAAGTTTGGAAGAAGTAGGCGGCAGTCACAAACGTTGGCTGGAAGAGGAATGGCGAGACGACGCACATTTTGGGGGGCTTTCCAAAGAAGAACTGCACAAACGTTGGTTCGGCAGTGACATTATTGACTGGCTCAAGGGTATCATCAATGGCGTCTCTGGCGGAATAGATCTCAGCCACACGTACTCTGACGATTTCATACTCAAGATCATCGACCAGCGACTGACTTGCCCTAATGTCGCCGCCAAGCTGGAAGTAAAAGCAGAGTGTCATGTCGATGTCGATGTCAACTACGGCTTTACTCTTGTTGCCACACTTGGTAATCCCGGTACCCTCATCGACCTCAGCGATTCATTCTTGTACTTTCGTACCAAAGGCGAAGTAGATGCTACGTTCGTCATCGACGCAGCCGTCACCGCCATGTTTGATACTGGCGATATCATGATGTTCTCTGCCGACAAGTTCGGCGCAGCCTTCGCGGTACCCGGCATCGTGACCATTGGTCCAAATTTCAAGCTGTTCGGAAGACTTGAAGGTCAGGCAACATTAGGTGTCAACTTTGAGAGTAAAGTTAAACTTGCAGAGTGGGATATCCGGCAGACCTATCCAGTCGCAAATGATGAATGGGATCCTGAAGCATCCAAGACCCCGGAGAAGAAAGGCACACAGAACGTGCTCGAGCCTGAGTTTGATTATGGCCTTACGCTTGAGGGACATCTTACCGCCCATGTCAAGCCGACGATAACATTTGGCATTGACTTCAACAAAGACTTTATTCCAATTGATAGCTGTGCTGTCAATCTTGTGGCTGACGGCCACGTCACCTTCCATGCAGAGTTGAAGGTGAATAGCGAGTCTTCGTTTTGCTACGGCGTGGATGCTGGAGCCGATCTTTACGCGACTATTGATGCTCCATCTGAATTCAGCTGGGCCCTTCCCAAGTCACCATTTCCTATTGTCCCTATCGACGATGTTCAACTGTATCCTACTGGCGATCAGCCAGCATGCATAGATCTCTCTAAAAGGCGCGATGCTGAGCATGTTCCAAGCAACATGCAAACTGCTCGGGCTTCTAGAAGACGTTCATCAATAACGCAGGGCAAGAGCGGGAACACCACAAGCGAGCTTGCAAAGAGGGCTAAAGTTTATGGTCCTTTAGTACCTCGATTGGAAGGACTGAACTGCCCAGGAGCTATTGACGTGGGCGATATTCCTCCATGTCCATTATGTGGCGATGATGATGGTGAGAGTCTTGAAAAGCGTGCTGACTCCTGTTGGCTTGATCCTTACGGCAAGGGAGCAAGTTGTCCTATTGATACCCCTGACAAGCGCGACATTCATATCGATGACATTGTCGGGAACGAAACTGAATCGCATCATCTGGAAAAGCGCGACACAAAATATGTCCGTTGGGCGGGCCAATACCTTCCTTGCGGAACTTACAAGTCTTGCGGCGCGGCAAGTAGACAAAACGGCGTGAACAAGTGGTTCGGCTTCAGAAGCGGGACTGGTCCATGTCCAGTGACGATAGAGAAACTTACTTCTGCCCAGACAGATACCTCGCAATACGTCAGTAAGTTTCTCTCTCCAGAATCATGCACATCCTGTGGCCAAAATATCATCGTACTGACTTCTACAAGCTGAGCATATCTACGAGGTACAAATGCTGCCAACCTTCTTTGAATGGCTTATCAATGGACCACTTCCTGGTGGCTACACAGCTCCTTCACGAGCTTGGGTGGATAACGTTCTCATTGGCATGAATCCGGCGGTAGTAGCTCCGCATGTTGCCCCTGGGTGGGTTGAGCAATCCCTTTTCTTCGAAATGACCCACGGCCTAGGGGGTGACCACAACCCTGGTGGCCTCGCATTGGCCGATAAAGGTATGAACGGTAGAAAAGAGCATCTGTTCGCTGGCAATGCTATTTCATCCGACAACGAAAACAATAACCTCAACACACGAAAGATGCACAGAAACACGGCTGCTGTCTTCTCGTACATGCGCAACACCTGGATTTGGCCCAAATTTGTCCAATCATCGCAGTTTATGGAAGAGATGCTTCACGATTTCGATACTAGCTTCAATTGGAACGGCAACGGAGCTGGAAACAATGGACAGCTAGGTAGACCACAGCGTGGTGCTGGCGAACCCATGGCAGGGCTCCGCGATCTATACTGCTACTGGATTGACAAGCACCTGTCTGAAATTGAGGGCACTGCTGCCATGTGGCTCCAGGCCACAGAACCCAAGTACAGAGCATCCTATGGCAGTGACAACGCGGGTATCAACTGGTTGCAAAACGTCCTGACTCCTCAGGGGCCCATATCAGCTCAGAACCTGGTGTTTCTTCATAGCAACCAGCTTCCCCATAGATTCAACCCGGGAAACACAAACCGAGTGGTATGGTTGCTGAGTAATTTCCAAGGTTTGTGGAGGACAGGGCCAGGCTATGGGGCAGCTGGACCTTTTTAAGAATGTAAGATCTTTTATTGGATGGCGGAATATTACTGCAAGGGCGAAACCAATATTCTCACATATGTATTTCATAGAGTTTTGAAACAGGGGAAGTCACCCTTGTTCTTTGAAAAACTTCCTCATCCCCATGGATCGGCATAACCTACAGACCATGCGCAAGTCCCAACAAACCTCCAGTGACTTTCAGATCTCACTATCTTTTTCTCATTTTTCTTTCCTTCATAGGCCAAAGTGGACAAATTAGTAGTCGAGCAAGAACGACCATCCCATACATACTGGCTGGGCCTACACTCGAAGTATCTCCATCTCAATAGACTCACGATGGGCATTGCTAAAAAACCAGCTAGCAGCTTGTGAATTTGAGCGTCTGTTCAGCCAGCTTGTGCAATGGCCGGATGACCAAAATCATAAAATCAGCAAGCAAAGCAAAGCTTCACAAGAATTTATGCTTGATGATCAGTGGCATGGGTTTGAGTAAGAAACAAAGTATAAAATATGAGCCAATGCACTACGTATACCTAGATAGCTGAGACTCATCGACTCGATAACAAAGAGACATCACAAAAAGGGATATCAAGTTAATATGTCTTGGTTTTGTTCTTGTCTTTTCAAATGGAAAAATCCGGCTCACTATTCGAATGAAGGTTTTGGTTCGATGTTCTGGGAGGAACGTTTCATCCCAACAAATCAGCGGGTAAGATGACGGCAGTCGAAAATTCTCCAGTACATCATCTTTTTTTTCTCGCCATCAACCAACAGTTTTCCGCAAGAAGGACATTGCTCTTTTTTGTTTCTTGATTCTCATAACCAAAAATAACTTCTCCACAACTTCGTGCACGAGAGGCGCCGAAGGCCCGACCCGGAAATTTGTCTCGGGATATGGAGTCAACCTCTTGGTCTTACACAGCGTTGACTAATACACTGGACTGGGTTAGGGCTGGTGAGACTTACTGTGCGAACCCTCGTACGATTGTCTGGCGATTCCGATGGAGGGGAACTACGCAGAGGAGGCGAAAGATAAGTATAGATCATAGAGAATACAGCAAACACGAACAGCATAGGACCACTACGGTCCACGGATTGGCCTCTGCCTCTTACACAGTCAGATCCCGACATCCCACCCGAGACCTCTCATCTCTCAATACGTGCCGTCGCATCTTGCACGGTACTGGAATGAAAGCAAGGTCTTTTTTAATTTGCCATCTGGAAGCAGCGGACAAGACATGAGACAGATGTAATAAGACTTAGCGCACAATGTTCCCACAAGTCATTCCGTGCACTCGGTAATCGGACCGTAAGATATCGGTTGTGGGCGTGTTTCAACGCAAACTCCACGATGCAAATCCAATTTTGGCCAGAAGATGACGAGTAATCAGCGGTAAACATGAAACGACCAGCTACCGCATTGCAGGGGCTGCCGCCCCCACATCTCGCTTCTAGACTCTAAGCTTTCCCGTCCCGGTAATCACCAAGAGACCAAGATACATATCGTGAATTCTTTATAAAGCCAAGCGAATGATCAAGCTTTCTCTCCAGTCTTGGTTGTTTCATTCACCCACTCTTTCATTCATTCGACACTTATCTTAGTCATTCATTCTTTTCTATTTACACCACAAGTACACCATCTTTCCAAAAATGGTTCGATTCACTTCTACCTACACGGCAGCCATCTTGGCTCTGGCGTCCTTTGCTGCAGCTCGTCCTGCAGAGTGTCACGTTAAGGGCGCAGGCGCTCAAAACAACACGCCTGCTGCTACAGCCTCCTCGCCTGTTGCCGCAGCCTCGCCTGTTGCCAGCGCCGCGTCCGTTCCCGATAACTCTTCCAATCCCGGAACTTCGCCTGTTGCTTCCCCTGTTCCTGACAGTGATGGCACCCCCGCTCCTGACAACTCGCCTACCTCTCTCCTCCCGTCTCCCACTAGCACTCTCGCTGTCGTCGCGTCTCCTGCTGCCACATCGGCTTATACACAGGTTTTCGATGGAGACCTCACTTGGTATGGAGAGGACTGTGGAGAAGAATCATGCTGGCAAGGTGGAGCCTGCGCCTTCGTCGACTATGTCCTCCCCGCCACGATTGACGGCTCAACCTGCGTCTCCGAAGTGATCTGGAACAGCTCCTACCACTGCGGTGCCTGCGTCGAAATCGACTACCAGGGCAAGAAGAAGATCGCCATGGTAAGAGAGTCCCCCTCCGAAAACAAACGCATTGGGTATGGAATATTAACATCACCAATAGATCACCAACAAGACTGGCGGTGATTCCGTCCACCTGGATCTCTCACCCGACATGTTCTCCAAGCTCGACAACAAGAACAAAGGCATGATTCACGCAGACTGGAAATACGTCGAGTGCCCCATCGCCGATCCCCTCCAGATCCGCATGCACGGTGGTGCATCCCAGTACTGGTTCGCAGCTACCGTCATGAACGCCAGGCTCCAAACTGCCCAGCTCGAGGTCTCTGGCGATGGCGGAAACACCTGGAAGCCCACTACTCGTAACACCAACAACTACTTTACTCTCGTTGGAAACGGCGGTACTGGCACCAAGACTGCCTGGGTCAGGGTTACTTCTGATCTTGGCTCTCAGGTCATCGTCAAGGATGTCCAGTTGGTTTCTGGAACGACCACTAAGGCCACTGCCAACTACCAGTAAAAGCAACGCTCAAATCTTTTTCTGTTGGTACCCCAGCAGGGTTGTGTAACACGGCTCAGTTCTGGGGAGGATAAGACAACACTCCTTTTCCTTGTATTTTCTTCATCTAAAAATTCGATTAGTTCATGTATTATATTTAGACCCCACAATTACCTTTTCTTCACAAAAGTTCTTATTGACTGTTATTACAGTCACCTTGCTTGTGAACATGTGATGAGCGTCTGGTTACCTATAGAGGCCATAAACTTAGAACCGGCGACTGCAACGGCCCTAGCTGCAGTATACACACGATGCGAGGTTACATTTTATGTTGATGATACAAAATGCAAGCCCATCGTTATAGAAGTGGCGGCATATTGACTCTTGAAGTTCAGGTGTCACTCTTGTTGCAAGTCTTTGGTTGCGAATGGGTTATGTGTCTGGGATACCAGTATGCTCGCAAGACTATTCAAGCTTTTCAGAAGATGTGTCTCTATCATGTTAGCACGGAAAAGGTCAACTGACAACAATACAAATTGCATTCATCTACCTCGCTAAAAATGTCACAATGAATTGCGCCCTGAACGTCGGTGATGGTGGAAATTGGTCAACGCCCAACGCCTAAAATCGATACGAATTTTGGAGAAGCAAGATTGCTGCGCCTCAAATGCGTCTGGATTGTTTTTCCATTCCTGATCTATCCGCTTTTACATTTAGTGGTAATCAAACATGCTTGCGCAACTTTGCTCCTGTCCATAACACTGGGGCAAAGTGTGTTGACATGTTGAAACCAAAAAGAGAGGCGAACCAGAGTATGGCCATGACGGCAACTGGTACAAGTAACAGCTCTGTGTGGTGTAGGAAGGGCAGCTCTTTATAGCCCAGGAAGGTAATGATGAAGTAATAGTTCAATGCAAGTAGATAGAGCGTATTGGATAGGAGGAGTGAGAACCTGAGGTATATCAGCGCCAGCTTTCTCGCACAATATTAGATGTCTTACCAGTGCTGCGTTCCTACCAGAGGCATACAGATAAACTGCACAACGTAGAGAAAGACCCAAACTGGTACGAAAGCCCTAATGGCCACATCCCAGCAATAGCCAAATTCCAGCTCTTCCTTGCCAGAGTCTTCGCCAAGGTTGTATAGGCCTCTCCGTCGACCTGGCAGCAGTGTATTGTCTGGACCTAGTAATCGGCCTACAAGGAAAAAGAATAGAGTGGCTACAACAAGCGAGAGCAGCAAGAAGTGTCCGAAAATGAAAACGAGCATTATGTGGAGGGTCTGTGTGAAACCATCGGCGTATGCGAAACCCCAGGCAAGGGAGGTGAGTGTAAGGAAGAAGGAGAGCAGGTATGTGAAGGATGGGTCGGGTCGGTGGTATGTCTTTGTGGTTTGTTTCTATAAAGTCATCAGCGGTGCATCGGGGGTGTAGGGACCCATATTGTGGCATACGTGGTAGAATATCTGGCGAAACACCTTCTTGGGCGCTATTATCAGGCTCATGATCTCCCATGCAGCCATCTCAAAGTCCATCTGGGGGAACTTGAACATGCGCTTGAAGAAGCGCGGCATCTTGATTTCATTGCGCCGCGATGAGGGCATGGAGCCAAAGTTGGAGGGCCCGCCCGTCGGCCGTGGGAGGGATATATGCGGGTTCATGCCGGGCTATGTGAAGGTGAAAGGCGCAGTCGAGGAAGCAGCAGTCGGGCGTACGGGTGTGGCGGCAGAGGCGGAAAATGCGTTATAGGGCGCAGCGATTACCGTGTCACGGCGAGTCCCAAATTTCCATAGTTATAGTCGGGAGATGCATGTGGAGGACGTCAATGTGGACAGTGTGGATGTACCTGAGCCATGACATGGATCGGGTGCCTGGCGGTTGCGCACTAGGGCCGGTGCCAAGGCCAAAGCATGTCAGGCTCCGTCCTCCGCTAACAGGCCGCATCGCCGACTCGCAACCTTTGCTCACCCTCACCTCATACACGGCGCGCCCACTCGACCACGCCTGACGGCGCACTATCCCCTCTGTTATCGCACACGTCTTGAAAATACCCAGACACGACCTTTCGAAGCTGCCGACAGCATCTGAAGAGCTTCGAGTCCATCCTTGGTTCAGTCGCGCATCTTGGAGCGCATTGCTTGCACAACTAACCACGCGACAAAGAAATCCATTGCAAACCACACGACACGTCCACGCACTCTGTAATCCTGCGCCTGCCATTTCTCAGCGACCACTTCTAACCGCCTTGCACAGCTCGAATCCTGCCATGTCGATGGCGGACGAGGCCGAGCTCGCCTTCCTAGAGGCGCAAAAGGACGAAGAGTACGACCCTTCAGCCGGCTACAACATGCCCGACGCGCCTACAGGCCAGGATGAGTACGACCCGACCGCGACCTTTTCCGCACACTCAGAGCAGTCTGGGTCCGTGCCGCCAGAATCGGGCGCCAATTCTCCACCGCCAACTACCGAGGGCGAGCATGAATCGCAGTCCCAGCCCCCCCAGGCTCCTGCAGAGGCATCCGCGGCGCCGCAGTCCAAGCGACCGCGCACTGTGGGTGGGTTTGTCGACGAGAGCGAGGATGAGGAAGAGGAGTCCGCTGCGCAGCCGCAAGAGGCGAATGCTACACTGCTGAGAGCTACGGGAGACGCTGAGTCGCCTCAGCCTTCTTTTACAAACACACCAAACAATACACTTCCCAACCCAGATGTACAGTTACATAGTGCACAAGACCTGGCTCCTGCATCTGTTTCTGCTCCTGTCGTTGTCAATGAGCCTGCTCCATCTATTACTTCTCTCCCTAACGGCAGTACGCCTGTCCCAGACGCTACTAAGCCAGCTACCCCCGACGTCTTGAATGTTGCTTCAGCCCGCCCCTCTGTAGCGCCAGCCACTCCGGCGCCTACTTCTGCTTCTCTGCCGAAGGCTCGCCTTCCTCAGGATCGAGTTGGTATTCTCGAAGATCGCATTGCTGAAGATCCGCGTGGTGACATCGAAGCGTGGTTGAGTCTAATTGAGGAGCACCGCAGGCGACACAAGCACGACGACGCCCGAGCTGTATTTGAGCGCTTTCTCAAAGTCTTTCCTTCGGCAGTAAGCATGCATAGCAGTGAGCAATTCAAATCATTCCACTAACATGTTCAGGGCGAGCAATGGGTAGAGTACATTCAGTTTGAAACTGAACTTGACGAGCTGCCAAAAGTCGAGCATCTCTTTGGTCGTTCGATTCCTTCAGCTCAATATATCGGCATATACTCTGCTTACATTGACTTTATCCGACGTCGCTTCAATCTCACCACTGACCAGAATGGGCAGAACCGCCAGACAGTCACCCAAGCTTATGAGTTTGTCCTGAACTCAGTTGGTATTGATGTTCAAGCTGGTAAGCTATGGCTTGATTACATCGAGATGCTCAAGACTGGGCCTGGCGTTCTTGGTGGCAGCAACTGGCAAGATATGCAAAAGATGGACACTTTGCGAAAAGTTTACCAGCGCGCCGTGTCAGTTCCCCACAATGCTACTCTAGAAATTTGGCGAGACTATGACAAGTTTGAGATGAGCATGAACAAAGTTTCGGTAAGCAGCTTCGGTGGCGTACCTTTAGCTTTTGTAAACTTACCTCGTTACAGGGTCGCAAACAACTACAGGAAACTTCGCCTGCATACATGACTGCTCGCAGTGCTATCAACGTTCTTGATAACAACATCACAAAAGGTGTCATCCGGACTACTTTGCCCAAACTTCCACCTGCTGCCGGTTTCGATGGCTACGAGGAGTACATGAACCAGGTCAAGTTGTGGAAAAACTGGATTCAATGGGAGAAGAGTGACCCACTCGAATGCGCAACCGACAACCGTGAACTGTACAACAAGCGTGTTCTGCACCTTTACAAGAATGCCTTGATGGCTCTTCGTTTCTGGCCAGAGCTGTGGTACGAGGCAGCTGAATGGTCTTATGAGAACAACCTACAGGCTGAAGGTGACAAGTTTCTCAATGACGGCATCGAGGCAAACCCTGAGAGCTGCCTGCTTGCCTTCAAGAAAGCCAGCCAGGTCGAGCAGCGTACCGATTTCGAGGATGGCCAAGCTGGTATCATCGCCAAGGGTAGGGCTGTGCGAGAACCATATCAGAAGCTCCTCGATACCATTTACGACCTTACAGCACAGGTCAAGAAGCGAGAGGAGCACTCTATTGCGCGAGCAAAGGAGCAGTTTGAAGCCCAGAAGGCTGCAGATGAGGCTGCACGCGCAGTCGCGCAGCAAAACGAGGATGCAGATGACGAAGATGAGGTCGTTGCTGCACGACGATTAAAGGAGAAGGAAGACGCCTTCAATAGCCAGCTCCAAGCCATGTCTGCCGGATACAATGCGCAGACCCAAAATCTCAAGAAGACACTCACATATGCATGGATAGCACTCATGCGTGCAATGCGTCGTGTTCAGGGCAAGGGAGATCCAAAGGGGGATGTCGGTGGCTTCCGTGGTATCTTCACAGAGGCTCGCAAAAAGGGAAAGCTGCTCAGTGAGGCCTACGTAGCTAGCGCACTCATTGAACATCATTGTTACCAGGAACCAGCTGCACAAAAGATTTTCGAGCGCGGTATGAAGCTGTTTCCAGAAGATGAACAGTTTGCATTGGAGTACATCAAGCACCTGATCAAGCTGAATGACTCAACCAGTAAGTTTACAACCTTGTTGTTATCCATTGGTCCTTGTACTGACTGCCACAGACGCCCGTGCTGTCTTCGAAACTGTCGTTGGAAAACTGACAGCCAAGCCGGAAAACGTCCATCGAGCCAAGTCTCTTTTTGCCTTCTTCCATGATTACGAGGCTCAGTTTGGTGAACTGGCCCAGATCACCAAGCTCGAGCAGCGCATGGCAACTCTTTTCCCCGAAGATCCCCAGTTGCATCGCTTCTCGCAACGCTTTGCAAGCTCAACCTTCGACCCCATTTCCGTCCGCCACATCATCTCTCCCCGCACACAAATGAGGCCTGTCATGCCAGCATCTATGGCGCCAGTCATGCCATCGGTTATGCCCTCGGTTGAAGAGCAGCAACCTGCTCCTGTAATGCCCGCACAGCCACCGCCTATTGTAGAACAACAGCGCCTTGCGTCTCCTGCCATTGCCAACTCCCCTCACCTCAACAATCTTCACCCCGTCACCAACTCACCAAAGCGCCCACTCGAGGATGTGGAAGACGTACCACAACCCCGCAAGCTTGCTCGCGGAGAGTCGCCTCTCAAGGGTGCTGCAGGTCGCCGTCTCGATGCTGCGCGCCGCAACCTCGCCACCGCTGGTGCTACACCTATCGGACAGGCCCAAGGTCCACCACCCCTTCCTCGTGGAATCAACTTCCTTCTCAGCATTATTCCTCCCGCACATACATACAAGGAGACGCGGTTCAAGGCCGACGGTCTTGTCAGCTTGCTACGAGATGTGGCCGCCATTCCTGTCCCCCCCGGTCAGGCCATACCACAACCGCAGCGCTGGGGGACCACACCAACAACGGCACAGCAACTGCAAAGCATACAGGAGAAGTATGGCAATGGCGGGCACATTCCCATGCACGCAGCCATGCCTGGCGCAAATCCTTGGGGAACTTAGACAAGCCGGACCGGACTTTTACGCGGAAGGTGAACTGTCCATTGATGTAGCGAGTACATTGCGGCTGTTAGGCTCAGGATGAATGTGAGCACTCAACAGCTGGAATCGGAGTTGCTATCCAATTAGCATTGCATATGAATGGCGTTGGTATTATATCTCTTCTCAATTCGGCGAATGCGAACGAAACCTTTTTTTTACACATGTGGGAATACTTGGAAAGATTGACCCACGGGCCTAAGGAGGGTGGGGACGGAGATCATATGTGGTCTTTTTGTAATGAAAACTGTATACGAGCAAAGACATCATTCCATCGAACGCGACATGTCTCTGGGTGGTGAGGCTCATCTCTGCTCTTCTTGTCTTCTAGTTGGTTCTTTTTGCGTTTCGGGGCTGTTTTCTTTGAAAATTGCAATATTTGGGACCTGAAGGTATGTGCGGGGAAAGGAGTTATTTGCGTCTTTCTGTGTTCTTCGGGCATGGATAGAGAAGCTAAGAGGCTTTTTTATATCACTTTGCAGTCCGATATTCGTCATCGCTGTTTATAGTACTCTTCCGATAATATCAATGAAAGGGGGTTTGGGGAGGTGCCACTTCGTTTATCATTACGCTCCTCGTGGTTTTGTTCTAGCCATTTCTAACATTCCAGCACAGCATCAATGTGATTCTCATAGCAAACATATATGTACATCCGTCGGGACAAGGACGTAACTGCGTCCCGTCCCGATGCACCCGTGTGTAGATGTAATGAATGAATTGAACATGTGCAAAATATTGTGCCAATCTCAGGTACTGCTAGAAGAAATGGGCAAGGGAGAATGATGTCTCGGACTGTCGGTGCATAGCAGCAATCAAGTTTGTGTCTAACAGCTTGATGCATTTCCACCACATCCAAATGCACATGACGACTCAAGCGCTGGAAATGCTTCACATGAAAGATGGTGCCTTGTCTGGAAGTGCTCAAGGCTGCTTGGACTTGATAGTGAATTGGCGTACTCATGATTTTGGCTATTGGTTCCTATTGTTGGTGACAGCGACGAGTTCCACGACGCCAGATGATTGTGGACCGCTGTACAAATCAAAAAGTATGTTCATGCATGATGCTTCTCTCATGGATAGACAAGTGGCGGAAGGCGAGTGGCCCTCCACACTCATCAAGCCTCATCACGGCTAGAGCATCCTCGAGACGAGCTGTGGGAGAAGGGCACCACATGACTTGTTCATTTGCCGTCTCCCTGGTCTCTCTCGTGTAGTGTTGACTCTAATCTCACCTTTTGTTTGAGTTGTTCTCTTACTCATGCAACAATTGTAATGCCCATTTCTGCCTGTGTGTCCCATGCACTCTCTCACTGGTCACTCACCAACATTGATATCAGCAAAGCTGCACAATTCTCACCAGGGCTTCAGAATCTAGGCATCACAACAGACTATTGGCTTCACCTGTCAATACCGCCCAGCTCAGTGGGATCCTGTGCCCGCCAAGTTAGCGCACTCCTCTATCCATATAAGCTTGCTCTCCCACAGCTCCCACCTTCCTTCCCTCCTTCCTCACACGACAACACTACACTTTGTTTGTAAGCTCAGACTATCCCATTCCACCATCTTCACAGCCTTTGCAAGCCCTACCTGCACCAATAACAGCCACCCCGTCTTCTTCAAGACCAACAAGAGCCAGTCTCAAGCTGCTTCGTGCAAACAACCCGGTCTCAACCACTGCAAGTGGCATTCACGCCCCCGGCAGACTCTGGTAAGCCGCCCATCAACAATCACATATCCTCTTTCGTCATCTTCGCTACCCTCTGCGGGCCTTGTATCGCCGCCATTACCTATTCTGTATCATAGCAATTGCTCGCTGCCTGCCGCCACCGCTTTCACCCCGCAGTCACCTGGCGTCCCCGCCGTGCCTGCTCTCTCCGTTTGTCACTCACATGGTCATAGCTTTGCACTACTCTATAACTGCCCATCTCTGCTACCCTTACCTTCTATCCCTTTGCCTTGCACCCCACTCTTGAAGAACATCAACCCTTCTTTCATACATCCTCACATCGTATGTCTCACTCCACCACTCGCTTGTATTGCCTCGAGCACATACAGGCCCAGATTCTATCAGTGGACTTTGCTGACCTGCCCCAGATCCAGCCGGCAACCCGGTCTGAACACGCAACCTACAACAGGTCCCAACCGAAGCCAGTCTTCATCCAAGGTACGTATTGATGTCATCTAAGTAGCATCAAGTGCACTGCATCAGTCTGTCACCGCAGTCACCCCATCTGGCGTACTCTCCTACATCAGTTGCGAGCATCACTAACACGGCATCTGCAGTCCACCATGGCTGGTCCAGTGAAGAAGCGCGCTGAGGTCGAGAAGAAGTCGAGCGACTCGTCTAACGACTCGGCTTCTCAGTCTCGGGACCTTACTCAGCGTTCCTCCAGGTCCATCCCTCGCCTTGACGGCAATCGCGACCCCAGCGATAGAAAGGTGATTGACTACACGGTGCCCAATGACCTCAAGAACCTCTCCGAGTTCCTTGGTATGCGTGGCTGGTACGCTGCTCGAGGTGTAAGTACAAACGCCTTCCAGTCTCAGTCTGCACATGCATCAGCACCCCCGCCACCCCCAATATTGAGGTCGAATTACCTCCTTCCTCAATCACTCCTATCAGAACCTCTCTTTATTTGTGCCGAAACAAAATTTCTGACAATAGCTTCCAGGTCAACGTTGGAAGTGACCTACCTGCGCGTCCCGAGACCTTCAACCAGAATGGCAAACCCGTGAACATTACTCTCAACACCTTCAATGTTGACAAGGCTCCAAACACCATCGTTCACCAGTATGATGTAAGTAACTATGGCTCATTGTATATCTCTCGACCTTACTAACATTCTCAAGCTTCACTTCACCGGCGACGGCCAAGACTATACCAAGCGCGTCCTGCTCAAGAAGATCTGGAACTCGAATGCTGTCAAGTCCTTTCTGGGTGAATCAAACAAGTGGATTTGGGACACCAACAAGCTTGCATGGTCTACTAAGCGTTTGGATCGTGACGACACCCGCATCCATGTTGATCTTGATGAAGAACAGGGTCGTCCTACGAAACCCGGCGCTAAAAGCAACAAGCATGTTGTCCATATTCGCTGGACTCGTCAGGTGGATTTCATCGGCCTCAAGTCGTTCATGAGCGGTCAAGCAGCGTGGTCCAACGACTGCATTGATACCCTGAACTTTCTTGATCATGTCATGCGAATGTGGCCGTCGAACCAGTATACTATGATCAAAAAGTCGTTCTTCCAGCGGGGTGAACAACGCTTCGACCTCGGCGGAGGTGTTGAAGCTTTCAAAGGTGTCTTCACCTCCCTCCGCCCAGTCCTCGATGACAAATTCAACAAGTCGCTGTCCGTCAACGTCGATGTTGCCAATGGGACATTCTGGCGTGCCCAAGAGCTCACGCGTGCCATTGGCCAAGCATTCAGCTGTAGTCCTCCACAGTTTACGAGCATGTTCCAGAATGCACTCCGCGATTGGAACCGCTCCATCCTCAAAAAGGACTTGAGAAAGTTTAAGCGCATCGGCGTCTCTACGACTCACACCAAGGAGCCTGTCCAATGGACCATCGACGAGTTTGTTGAGTTGGACGCGCACAAAGCCACGTTCTCAGACCCAGACGATCGTTCCAAGACGATTTCCGTCGCCGCTTACTTCAAGAAGAAGTACGGCATCGCTGTCATGGGTGGTGTTCCAGTCGTCAAGATGACGAAGAAGATTCGTGGTCAACCCGTCTACATGCCAATTGACGTCCTCAAGATTGACGCCAATCAGCGTTACAACACAAAGCTCAGTGACACTCAGACGTCCAACATGATCAAGTTTGCTGTCACCCTCCCCAAGGAGCGCTGGGCAGCAGTTCAGCATGGCATTCGTCTCCTCGACTGGGCCAACGACCCCTTTCTCAACCACTATGGAATCAAGGTCAACCCTAACGCTGCGAAGGCTCAGGGTCGTGTCTTGCCTTCGCCTGTTGTTCATTTTGGACCAGGCTCCAAAGAAGCGACCATCAAACCCGCTGACATGATACAAGGTCGATGGAGGCTTGACGGGCGAAAGTTCGTCATGCCGAACAAGGAGCGCCCAATCAAGGCCTGGGGCATCTGTGTCATCCAGGGGCGTGGTAGTCCACCACCCACGGCTGTTGAGAGCTTCGCTCTCAAACTGATCCAAATCTACGAGGCTCATGGAGGCCATATCCTTTCTCATCCCCAGCATGGCAAGAAGCCCTGGATGGGTCCGGGAAATCTGGCAGACGGCGGAGAAATGGGTGAGTAGTCATACTTGCTGAATCTCCAAGACGCACGCTAACTTGATTGTAGTCTTGAAGGCCTGGAACCAGACCGGCAACAAGTAAGCTATGGAATCTTTGCTTTCTTTCGAAGAGCTGCCACTGACTTTATTCACAGGTACTCCACACCACCCAACCTGATGCTCTTCATTGTCAACGATCGGAACGTTGATGTGTACCGCCGCATCAAGAAGTCTTGTGATATCCGTTTTGGTGTGGCTTCACAAGTTCTTCAGGCCAAACATGTCATGTCTGCCTCCCCGCAGTACATCTCCAACGTGTGCATGAAGATCAACGCCAAGCTCGGCGGCGCTACCTGCGTCGCAAAGTCCCAGGTGATTCCAAAGATTGCGCCCCAGGCTACCTCGATCCCCACGATGGTCGTCGGTGCTGACGTCTCCCATCCTGCTCCTGGAGCGGGTTCCGGTGAAGCTGCTTCATTTGCCGCCATCACCGTGTCTGCAGACGTCCACTTCGCTAAGTACTGGGCTGAGGTTCAGACCAATGGAAACCGCGTCGAGATGATCACAACCTCCAACATCGAAAAACACTTCGGGTCCATGGCCGACGCTTGGATGCAAAAGGTCGGTCAAGGCAGGCCTCCGCAGCGGGTTCTTTACATTCGTGACGGAGTCGGCGAAGCACAGTATGCTGCAGTGCTGGAGGAAGAAGTTCACGATATGAAGGAAACCTTCAAGAAGTTGGGCTGCAAGGAAATTCCCAAGTTCACGGTTGTGATTGCCGGCAAGCGTCACCACATCCGCTTCTTCCCCGAGACTGGCAAGGGCGACCGCAACAACAACCCTCTTCCAGGCACGTTGGTGGAGTCCGGCTGCACTCATCCGTTCGAGTTCGACTTTTATCTCTGCTCTCACGTTGCCATCAAGGGCACTGCTCGTCCTATCCATTACCACTGCATCCTGAACGAGGGCAATTGGAAGGCTGCCGAGCTTCAGCAGTTCATCTTCGAGCACTCGTACCAGTATGTGCGCTCGACGACTCCAGTCTCGATGCATCCGGCTGTCTACTATGCTCACTTGGCTGCGGACCGCGCACGTGCTCATCTCAACGAGAGCCCTGTCTCGTCTGGAAAGAAGGAGGCCAAGGCTGAGAAGGAATCATCGACTGGTTCGTCCAAGCAGCACGTCGAGATTGGTCCTTTGATGCCTATCCAGAACGCGCGCGGCCTCAAGGATGTCATGTGGTATATCTAGGTGTGAGTGGGCTTTGGGGCCGTCACAAAGATACAAGGGTTGATATTATGGATGGAGGTTCATGGTTACTCCGTGGGTGAGGGAGGATACTGATTGCGAGGGAGGAGGGGACTGCCGACGATGGGTCGAATGCGGATGTCTTTGAGGGTTCTTTCTCTTTTCCTCCTCGTGGGATGGACGGCTTGGGGTTTTACGAGAAACATGTCATGGCCATGGATGATGGTCTTTGGTAGCTTGGCTTGACGTGCAGAGATGAGGCCTAGGAACAAAAATGGATGGATGACATCAAGCATTGTGCTATGTTTGTCATGTCCAATTCGCGGCTTGATGGCTGAGCTTGACGGTGATTTCCAGACTGTAACAAAGAGCCGTAGGCACGCGAAGGCATCAAACGAGGGGTCTTTCAGAATCAGACCTGAGTCGCGTCGGGCACATGGTGATCACAAACAGCAGAGGTCTGGGCAGCCTGGCTATGATAGGGCAAGGCCGAGTGCGCACCATGACATGCACGCAAGAGTATGTACCGTCCAAAAAATTTGCCTTCGCTCCACCAGCGCAAAGCGCAGAAGAGAAGGAGGTAAGCGAACGCGAGGTTGTTCTAACCTCCTTTTTCCCCTCCGAATCTCCATGGAGGTGGAAGACACAGAGTGAATAAAGGGGTATTCAGTTTTAGTGAGCAGAAGGGGACAGGGCAACGCGCTGATTTTGTTGCTGCGAGAATTTCAGATGACTAAGGTGCGCTTGTTGGTATCCGGACTAGCGGCGGCGCAGGGGTTAGGCTGGCGAATTGAGAATGGCGCGTTTTGTGTGACGAGGACGGAATGGCGGGGCAGGGGAATTTGGCGGGCGCGGGGCTGTTACGTTTTGTTGGTGGGCCGGCCAGGGTGACTCTTTTGACAACACCAAGAAGACTGTCTGCATGGCGGTGTAGCAGGTAAGTAGCAGGCTCGCTTTGCTGTGTGCAGCGTGCATATTAGGCTGACGTGCCGTGGTTCGACAGACTCGCTTTCACAACTAGACCACTCTGCTTCCCCGATATAATCACCCCAACACCAACTCATACTCTTCCTGAGCCTATTACCCGTTTGAAACACATCACACATAAAGGACCTCGTATAGTTCTCGGCACCGTCTACCGTGTACGCGGGCACGACTTGCAATCAGACTCGACATCGAACACTCTTGACTCCCACAGTCACAACCCATATCCAACATGTCCTCAGCACGTGGTCGCGGTGGCAAGTTCAACAAGGTCAAGCGCGGAGGCGGCAAGAAGTTTTCACGCGACTTGCAACCGCTAAATGCAGATGGCGAGGTAGTCGGCATGTGGGGTGTACGTACTTGGCCTGATAGACGCCCGGAACGCAGAAACTAACGACAAGTCACAGGAGCAACCCGACAAGGTTGACGAAGAATCTTCCGGTGAGGAGGAATCGTCAGAAGAGGAGTCTAGCGAGGACGAGGAGGGCAAGCCCGCACAAGAAGAGTTGACACGTGAACAGCGCCGTGAACTTGCAAAGAAGCGCAAGCAGGCCGCGATAGCAAAGAAGTCGCAAAAGGCACCCGAGGCAGGTGACATGCCCACCGACTCCGAGGAGGAGGACGATGATATGCCCGCAAACCCAAATCACACCGCCAAGGCCCGCACACAAGCTACCAAAGCACCCGTTGATGCAGACGACGATTCCGCAGCCAAGGGCAAGGGCAAGCAAAAGGACCTCTCGCAACTGTCCCGTCGTGAGCGCGAGGCTCTCCAAGCGCAAGCCAACAAGGATCGGTACGACAAGCTGCACGCCGAGGGCAAGACCGAGCAGGCGCGTGCGGATCTCGAGCGCTTAAAGCTGGTTCGCGAGCGTAGAGAGGCTGAGGCTGCGCGAAAGAAGGCTGAGGCTGAGGAACGTGCTGAGCTTGAGAAAGAGAAGAAGGAGCTCATGGAGCGTGAAGCCAGGAGACGGGAGCAGGCCATGGGCAAAGCGAACCGCCTTGCCAAGGGCGGAAAGAAGAAGGCCTAGAATCAGTAAAAACACTGGTCTATGATTCAAAGAAATAGGGCTCGATGCTCGTATTTCGCATCTTCTGTGAATGGCTCGATCTTTCGGGATATGACGAGCGCAAAGAGAATATGGCATGGTAATATTCAGCAAGTGTACGTTCTGCTGATTGGACTAGAAGAATATGATAAGAATTCAAGATCACAAGACTGTGCTCCAACTTGCGTCATTGCTTTTGCTTTTCTGAATAGTCTGGTGCCAACACATGACAGAATAGTCGCAGCAGTGGGGTTCGTGCAAGAGCTGCGAATTAACAAACACCAGCAGGTCAGCCCCAGGCTGCAATTCGATCGAAATCGCATCTCGAATATTCGCCAGCAAATACGAGTTCGTCTGACGGGCGTTAAGCCCTTGCAGCGCCCTTATGCTCGCGACCCCGCCTACTAGCGCCTCGCCTCGCGAACGCGAAAGTTGACGACTTGGTCATCGCCTTGTACACTACAAAAACACCATGGCATCGCCGCTGATGCTCGCCACTATGCGCATACAATCGCATCCGCATATCTTGAACAGCACATCTTATTTCGAATCAATTGAACATGGCTGAGCCCATTCCCGCCGAGGAGCAATCCAACTACGAAACATTCCGCGACTGCATGAGCGAGGTGGTCCTCAAAGCGCTCGCCGCGCCGACAGAGAAGCCCAAGCCGAAGAAGAAGCGCCACGCGAAAAAGGGATCAAAGAGCGGGAAAAGCGACGTTGCACGGCAGGACAAAGCGGTAGAAAACAGCACCCAGGATTCGCACACCAACGACGCCGAAGACCTAGGCGAATTCATCGAAGTACACACACACACACATTTCCCTCAATCTCCCTCCCACCTACGTAAGCTAACAAATTCGCAACCAAACAGTACCTCAGCGCCCTCGTCTTCCCCAGCCTGCCCGCTTCCCTCCGTACGCTCACCCACGCCCTCTTCACATCCACCCCTTGGCTCGAAGAAACGTACTCGCCCCCGCTCTCCGCCGCAACATGCACCGACCTGCTGACGCGCATGCCGCCCGTCGCCATCGACAGCCTGGAATCGTACGCCCTCCTCCCGCCAGCCTCGGACCAAACAGACCACCACAACCTCCTCACCCCGCTCTTCACCGCGTACATTAATGCCGTCACGGCGCCCCCGCCCGTCTGGTCCAGCACACGCACCGAGGCCTGCCAATTGTGCGGTAGGGATTGGGTCCCGCTGACGTACCACCACCTGATCCCCAAGTCTGCGCATGCACGCGTGCTGAAGCGCGCGTGGCATGCCGAGGAGATGCTGAATAGCGTGGCGTGGTTGTGTCGGGCGTGTCATAGTTTTGTGCATGGGCTTGTGGGGAATGAGGAGTTGGCGCGGAGTTTTTATACGGTCGAGTTGATTGTTCAAGGGGGGGTGCAGGGCGATAGCGAGGTCAAGGAGAGGGTGGAGCGCTGGGTTAAGTGGGTTGGAGGGGTCAGGTGGAAGAGTCGGTGATTTTGATGAGTTATTTGAGAGGGTGAAGAAGAAGAAGGGAGAAGTGGGAGAGTGGGAGAGTGAATGTAGTAGTAGTAAATCATGATATTAAAATTTCCATATCGGAGATGTTGAAATCATCTCTCTGAACCTTCAACCCTGCTCTGTTAGGTTGAGGTAAAATGTTGGTGGGGGATGGGGGTATCTATGCTAAAATGGTCCAACGCTTCATGCTATCATTGCCAATGCCCAATGCCAAATAATGCTACACACACACTGATTTCCCTTGCAATGCAAAAAAAAAAAGAGTCCCTAGAACAAACGAAAAAGAAAAAGAAAGGATGGCTGATTCTCCTTGGCGAAATTGACCTGCAATTGCCGATAAAAGCCGTAAGGCTTAGAAAAGCCCAAAGAGGAAGGGGGAAAAAAAAAGGGAGACTAAATCATCCCATACTTGGTAACAAACGAAAAAGGGTAAGAGAAAGAAGAAGAGTGTTATACATGATGCAAATCAACAAAACGCTAGTAGGGACAAAAAAAAGTGTTTGCATGTTAAAAAGAAGAAGAAGAAAAGGAAGAAAGAAGAGAAAAGAGAAAGTGTGTTGTTACAAGGGAGCATCATCCAAGAAGCCCTTCTCGACCTCATCTGCGAAAACAGGGTAGGAGTGCCAGATTTTGCCGCTCTTGCTCCTGCGGGCCTCGAGGCTGGCGCGGATGTGCAAGAGGAAGCGCTCAGTGGAAGGGTCGCTGGTGGTGCGACGGAGTTCGCAGTTTGAGTTGTCGAGAGGAGGCTGAGTGGTGGTGGTGTTGGTGGTGGTGGTGTCGAATGGGGCGATGAGAGAGATGTCGTTGGCATTGGCAGTAGCAGTAGTAGTGGTGTCGAGAGGATCGATGGATTCAATTTCCTCTTCACGGGTGAGAGCAGCGTCGAGTTTGCTGAGGATTTGGAATTCCTCGCGGATGCGGCGGGCGGCCCATTCGCCGGCGGGAAAGGACTTGCGGCGCTGGGTGGTGGCAAGGTACTCGTGGTAGGCGTCGGTGGTGAGGCGCAGGCTGGATTCCTTGGTTGGGTTGCTCTTGGGGAGGAGCTTGGGTGATTGCTTGGGTGAAGGGAGCTGCATGGCGGGGACGGGGGCCGGAGGTGGCGAGGGAGGAAGCGAAGGTGGAGTCTGGGTGAAGTCGACGAGCTGACCGGGGTGTGGCTCTTCACATTGGCTGCGGATGGTGGTGGTGGGAGTGATGATGTCCAGCCTTGCGCTCTTTGATCGCGTGACCTCGGCGTCGGAGCCGGAAGAGTCGATCCGCTGCCTCTTGAAGCATTCGGTCATTTCTGTCCTAGGGGAGCCGGATGCGGATGAGATGCTAGTGCGAGGGCTGACTTGAGGCGAGTAGTCTGATGATTGGCGGCGGCGAGAGGAAAAGCCAAAGCCAAAGTTGATGTTGAAGATGTCGCTGGGTCGCGGGCGCTTCTTCTTGAGCTTCTTGGGAAAGGTCCAGGTGGTGTCCTTGAAGGAGATTTTTGGCGACGAAGTCGACATGGGTTGGTGTGTGGGCAGCTGGCGGCTGGCGATTTCCATCATGGCGGCGTTGAGTGTAGCGAAGAGAGACGAGTCGACAAAGTGCAGGCCGGATGATTTGTTGGTGGCAGGAGTGTGTGTACAAGGCTTGGGTCTCTTTGCAGGTGGGTGATTTTGGGGCGGCAGTGCGTGCAGAGGTCTTTTTAATGGGTGTTGTGGGCGTCGGTGAGGCTTGTTCACCGTCTCTTTTGGCACAGCAATAGCGGTGGCCGTAGTGGCTGTAGGAACAGCAACAAGGGCAGAAGCAGGGCCAGCACAGTGATAACCTTGGTTCCGCGTCAGGGTTCCAGCAACCTCTCTAGCCGCGGCGGTCGCACTACACAGGTAGGCATCGCGTGTGAAAGTGCAGTACAGGTCATCTTGCAGGCAGTGTTCACGGGGCGGTGGTCGTGGGGTGCTGCCTCTGCTGGTGCTGGGTAGACCGCCAGTGTTCGCAAGTTGCGGTGTCGGCGCTAGCAGCGGCGGTGGCGGCCACACCGGACCTACTCCAAGAGTAGCGGTCATGGCCCTGGGCTGCTGTGGCACGGGGAGAGTCGGGACAGCACATGTCGTTTGTTGGCGAGGCTGTGGGGGGAATGATGAGGCGAAGGCGAGCGTGGTTGGGTCAGATGCTGCTGGCGGTGACATGGGGCTCGTGACGTGGTGGTCCTGTGTCCAGCCTCGAGGCCTGCCCCCAGCCAATCTCCCCATTGGGCCTCGAGCCCTTGCGGTGTGTGTTTCAGAATATGGATTCATGTGTTGTGGTGTTTTCTTGTGCTGCAAAATCAGGTTTGCCGATGGACACTCTGGATGCGTGTGCCAGTGACGTGGAAGACGACGGTGTTGATGACTGTTTCTCCCGCTCGACATGGCGTTTTTTCTTCTGCTCGAGCACTCGGTGGCAGCCGCGGTGGGCGCCGTGTTATATACCAACTTTTTATTTTGTTATTTCTGCCTGCCAGTGCGCAGCAGTAGTAGGGAGCTGGACAGAGCCTCGCCGTCACCAAGACTCTGGCCGGATCCGGTACACTTGTCGACACAGGACCGCAGCGCCCAGCGCACAGTCTGTCGTGCACCCGACACTGACGTATCCCACCCAGCCTCAACTTGGTGAGAAGGGACTTTTTCCCACGCTCCCGGGCTCGCCAGTTGATATTTGACTTCTCCGGTCACCCATGCGTCAATCCAGACCCCAGGAACCGCAGGCGAGTGTGGCGGCACGAGCAGCGGAACGGTGCGCACGGAGGAGGGCGAATCGCCGTCCACTTGTCCATGTACGAAACGACAGTAGTGCGCATTGCGTACTCGACCCGCTCTCGCATTCTCTCCATGCCCATTGGCCTCTCCAACTGGCGATCCATGGGTGAAGGCCTCTGCCCATCTGAGCTGAACTGCTGATGGAACCGGGGTCCGCTTGGTACCGAAGCCACCGAGCGTACCGACTCGTCCGCGCGGAGAAGTGAGATTTCAAGGGTCCATGGCAGTTCGGCGAGGCCTGAGCATCTTGGTTCAACGTGCTTTTTGGTGCCATCGGACACAGCAAAGGCTGGTTGGGCGAGCATAGCCATGAGGAGACAACCATACACATGCCACATTGCAAATGCTTCCCTGTGGTGCGAAGACACTTGTCGACAGTCTAGACATGAACACCACGTGCAGCCCGAGTTTGCTACTAGCGGATGCGCACCAAGCTGGCTCGTGAGCAGCCTAGCATCGTCACTAAACACCACCTGAAGAACGACAGCAGGCTGCACCACTAGCCGCTCACCGGACGGTCGGATAGCCAAATGAAGCCTGGTTACTCCAAATGCTTGGCCTGCTCCTACCCCAACATTCATACATAGACTGCTACCATCGCGACCGTCTTCTTTGCCAGAACCTTAGCATTTGCTTTTTCCCCCTCCACCGTGTCCCACCATCTGTCTAGCTCCTGTCCCTTCAATTCCGCATCAACTCCCGACCCTCCGACTGGCAAGCACCACAATTCACCGTGGACTATACTCCGGCTTGGCAGCAACACATGCTGACCTCCTGTACTGTGCAGCACTTTAGTTTGATCTGACATGTGCACCTACTACCAACCCGTCCAATCAATCACCAACACCTCAAAACCCTGCGTCTGCAACCACGCTCTCCCAGACACCCTGCCAGTCCGCTTTTCCCCCTCCGTACCTCGCTTCAAAAGCGTTCATTGCAACATTTCCCAGGAACGGCCGGACCAATCGGTTGACTAGCTCTCCCCTAGTCATCTCCAAAACGGCTGCGCCTTCCTCCTTCTCCAGAGCCTCGATCAGCGGATCTAGAAGCAACACTCTCTTACCCTCGTCCCCTTCGGGCCCATGCTGCCCACTCATAGGCGCCCCAGGCGCTGATGAAGACATGCTTAACACTTCGTTGATTTCATCAGTGAGCGACATAAGCGCCGGCCGCTCGACGGGCTTGTATACTGCATCAATCGTGTCGGTAATGAAGAGCCATTCCATCAGCTGGAAATCGTCTGGATCCAACACAACAAGCTCATCCAACAGCTTGCAGCTTTGGATGATGCCTGCATTGTTGTAGTGCTCTTTGTTGCCTGCATCCGGCAGAATTGCTGACAGGCCCGATGTCAATTCGCCGTTTACCACCGGCCACAATGGCGCCAGGTGTACTGGTGAGGTCTTTAGGATAATGGCACGCAGCAGCACAATGACCTCGGCCCGAGTCGTCGATGAAGGCGACGACGCCGGCGTTGCCGTAAGCAATTCCACAATCTTTTCAAGAATTTGAGGTAGGTTGGGGGTAAAAGCGTCTTCAGCGCTGCTCAACATGAGCAATGCAATCCGTCGTAGAGTGAGCTGCGTCTTTCGGTCGGCCTCTTGCCTGGCTGACGTAGCCCCAACACCAAACATGATCCCTGCAGTTGTAGGTGCAGACAGTCGTGACAGCAATTCTGGCACACGCTCCTTGTCCGACTGCGTCCACTGTGCCAAAATAGGCACCCATGCATCTTTCAGCAATGAAAGCGGCGTATTGAAGAACTTTGCGTCATTGAAAGCATCAAAAATGTCCTTCTTGAGCAGTTTGTTGTTTTGTGAAATCTTGACAAGGCCCTGGAGCAGGTCGAGCATGTTTCTCGACACATTCTCAGGAAAAGCTTTGGCGCGGAACGTTGGACCAATGACAGACGTGGATATGTCCGACACGACCTTTGTCACCCGATCGTTCTCAACAAGGATAATTGGGAGTTTGGGTACAACAGTGCCGAGGATAGAGACAACGTCGGTTGCTCGTTTCTGTGCACGGCCTCCGTTCGTCGTGGCAGCTGCCTTCTCAACCGTGCTTTGACTCGAATCTTGCAGATAACCCATCGAACGCGTAGTGAAGATCGCAGTGAGAATCCTTGCAAAAACATCCTATATAATCGGTCAGATAGGTTGATGGAGCGAAACTGGCATACTTACAGCGAGCTCCCTCCTCATTCTGCGCTGCTCTCCAAAGTTGGTGTTGTCAACCTTCTGCCCTATGACAGCAGTAAACTCCAGGAGAGTTGGTAGGATTTGCCGATGTGGCAGAGGATTTGCGAGAACATCTTTGAGGAACAGCATACAGTCCTGCCATATTTCATCCATGGCGTCATCTTCTAGAGAATCCGTGTACTCGACGAGGAAAGCAACCAATTCAGTGTCGGTAAGGTCAGACGTCAGCGTAGATAGTCTGCTAGGATCCAAGGCACCGGGATCAGTTCGACTATAGACAGCATTGAAAATCGCTGGGATGGTGTGCTTGGGCTTGGAACCATTCAGGACATTTAGCAACCCCATAATTGCGGGACCTTGAATATCGTCGAGTCCTGCATGGGCCCACAGCACCGCCAACGTCTCAAGGCATTCCAACGCTTCGGCTCCAAAGAGATGCTCCAGCGTGCGGCGAGCTCGGTTGCGCATACGTAGTGATGTGTACGCGAACGAAGATGCCGACGTAGGATCCTGTGCTTCTTTTCTTTGGCCATAGCCTCCCCACGACCAAATAGAAAAGCAGATACGAACAGTGTCTTGAAAGCAAAGTAGCACTGTCAATCTACTGTTGGCTGTGGGAGTGCGCGTTGGATTCGTCTCGGAAGAGAACACCCCAGACACCACATTGCTAAAGAAGCCTTGAGGCTGCTCAGGAGTCTTGTTGGCTGATACTTTTGTTTCTTGCGTCGTCAGACGTTCGTGTGCCTTGGCTAAGATTTGCTCCAGACCATTCATCAGCGATATCAATGTCGATTCCGGTGATATCATGTGGGGTGCCTCCTTCGTTGAGAAGGTAGTTTTGAGATGCTCGAATGTGACATTGATCTGCTGGCAAAGACATTCGACAAGGGGAAGAAGATTCTGGAAGATGGTATCAGCGAACATCGGCAGCACCTCGACAAGGAAATGCATCCAATCTTCAAGAACCAAACGACTAGTCGGTGATGAGAAGCCAAATTTTAAGCATTCAATAAGCTGTGGTGGTGGTGGGACAGGTGCCGGCTCATTGTCTTCAGACTCTCTGTTCAGTGTCAAGGAGAGACGTGATCGATTTGTTGCCGGAGGACTGAGTGTTTTGCTTTCAGGCGGCTGCTCTTGCGGACGAGTAAGACGGAGTCTCAATGCAGCAAGCTCTGCACCTAGTATCAGACTTTGCAAAGATGGGTTTGCTGATCTCAGTCTGTTCATAAGTGGTATTTCAAGCTCCAGATCTCGAAGTGGAGTAGCAAACGGACTGCGGTAGATTTGCGATATGATCGAGACGGATAGTCTGTGTAATTCGTGGATGTGTGGCTCCGCATCCTTTTCCGAAGCGCCAGCTTGAAGCGCCAGCGTCTTCAAGCAAGTACGTACAAGCCATTCCTGGATTGTCACTCGCAATGTAGAATCTTCTGACCAAGCGACAGTCATTTCAGCAAGTGTAGCCCATGTGAGACGTGATGGGTTTTTCACAACATTGGAGATGTGCTTGAGATAGTACAAGCACTCCTTGGTGTCATCTCTTTTCGAAAGCTGTGAACGTCTTGGATTGGCCTGTTCAGGCGCCAGGTTGCCCAAACCCGCCAAGCAGTTCATCGACTGAATGTGAACCGCGAGGACTTCGATAATTCGGTTCAGACTCGGCAGTTCATGCAGCCAACTTTGCATAAAGGTAGACGTTTCAGAACCTTCGTCTGCAATTGTATCTAGGAGTAGAAGAAGTGGCCTTGTCAATACGGCCTGGAAGTCGTTGGCGGGAAGTGAGACGGGAAGAGCGTTGCCACTTGGTCGTCGCGTGGTGCTTAGGCGCTTCTCTGACTGTAGGCTCAGCTCGTGCATAACATGTGCCCAGAGTGTGGCGAATCGTCGACCGCAATTCGAGGATCCCTCAATTGCGGGAGTCTGGGATATCTGCTTTACAACTATGGATGAGATGGCGCTCTCAACCATTCGACTTGCTGGAGCCATCGAGTGCAGCAGCAGTAAGCATCGTGCTGTCTCGACATGATACTTGGGTAATGTTGGCGAAAGGTATTGCCAAAAATATTCAATTAGAGGGTAGGCGAGCTCAGACAGTTGATCGGAGGGAATGCAGGTACCCGATGGAAGTGCAGTCTGAAGAGCCAGGAGGACACTGGTTATGGCGCTCAATAGCGAGAATGGCAGGACGACCTCGGAATCAGCTGGTTTTTGAAGAATCTCTGCAAATACGGCTGGGAGATTGGTCTCTTCAATCGCTCTCATGCACTGGGTCTTAAATATCAGACTCGCAAGAATTCTGGAAGGAGTCTCGGCCGAGGTTTGAGAGCTCTTTGATTGCAAAGCCCCAATGAACATTCGTGAAGCCTCACGAAGAACAATCTGGCCAAGTTGCCTTGGATCAAAGGGTGGGTCTGCCGCGTCAAGGCTCCCTTGAGATTCTTCATAGAACTCTTGGAGTTTCTGAGACACGTTTGCGGGGGTCATCTTGAGGGCTTCAGATAGTTGTTCGTCCGTTGCTTTACCGCTCTGGAATGAGCGCTCTGGTACGACCTGAACAAGCGAGTCTACAATTTCTAGAGCCAAACTCCTCACTTCTATCTCCATCGATGTAATGCTCGCTGTGTCGGACGACTTGTTCAAGCGTGTAAGTGTCGATAGAATCATCAGAGGCATGTGATATAATAACATATCCTCCTCTTTGAGATTGAAACGTGCAAGAATAAACTTTGCCAGCTTCATCTTCCGTAATGCTTCACTATGAGAGGCCAGACCTGTCTGCAATGAGGACGTGATGAGGTGGATAAGTTTACCCCAAATCAAGCCGCTGTCGACGCCATCAAAGAATGCACTGGCGCTTCTCACTACTTCGTCAACTTGATCTCTCGAGGCATCCTCGCTATAGGAGTGGACACTCTGCAAAGCTGGGAGGAAAATCTCGGGTACGATCAACCCACCTACCTCCCAACGATCCATGAGAGATAGACAAACTCTAAAAGGACGTGCTCGCTCGGCGGGTGTTTCGCTGCGTCGATTAATCATTTTGAGCACACTATTCGTGAGTGCCTCAAGACCATATCGCGAGAAGAAAGCAGCTTGGTGGGCAGAAGTATCTCCAGGCCCGTTGTGACTCTCTGACATTGGAGAAGTGACACCTTCGTTGGCCTCTGATGCCGTAGGCTCGGGCCCGAGGAACCACGCCCAGAGTCGGCGATTCAAACTCATGTCCCTTCGTGATACCACACCAGCCGCTGCTGCGACAAGTCGCTCCAAGTCTCCTTTGCCAACACGTTCTTGAAGTACAGGGGAATCAAGAGGCAGGTGAGTGACGAGTAAATCAAGGAATCCGCGCTGTATAAGTATTTGAGGGTCCGAAAGGCCAGATTCGAAGCAACGGATTAGTAGACCTGGTTCCGGGGATGTGGCTGCCTCTGCTTCGACCGATAGGGTTTCGGGAGGCATTGAGGTATCTTGTGGAGAGTTTCGACGACCAGGACTCCCGAACTTGGGCAAGTGACGTGTGAGAAATGCAAGCGCGCCTTGTCGTCTGGATGCATTTGTGATGGTAGCGAGGAAGAAACACTGCCAGAAATGCGACGAGCCACTAGTTGTTCTCGATTCAGTTGCTTCGTTTGAGGTTTCTTGGAAAGCATTGCGCAGCTTCTCAGTCGCTGACACCATGCGCTCAAAGTCCTCGCTGGTCTCATCCTCTAGACCGGGAAGCAGCGAGAGTATGATGGCCTTCAAGGCTGGTCGAAGAGCAGCTCCGTCGAGCTTCAAGATGTGTGTTTCGAAGAGAGATAGATAGAGCGGGCGGACCGAAAGCGAGGCAAAGGATAGTACAGGAGCAAGGCCGGGAAAATAAAGGCTCAGATCACGGGCGAGGGCGTCTTTCTGGGCATGGGTCAGCATCTGCCAACCTGACCTGCAGGAGTGCGGAATGGGCATACACTAATAGTAGAGAAAATATAGTCATAGACTTCGAGGGCTTTCTGGTGGACGCCCGAGGGCAATGTTGGATTCAAACACTGCGCTAATCGCAGTGCGACTGTATCGCTATGGGGGATAACGGGTATCTCTGAAGGGTGCGCTTGCAGGGCCTGGACGGGACATATAATAAGCGTTGTGGTTCATATTCGCGGTGGTACGGCAGTATTGACCTTGAGCAGCCTGGCGAGGAAAGAAATATAGTCGGCCCATTCCTGCTGGGCCGTGTCCCAAAGGGCGAGGGCGCGCTCAACACCAGCGGCATATCGTCGAAATCCCTTGTCTTTTTTATACAAAGCTACACAGGCCAGGTCAGTCATGCACAGCGAAGCAGGTTGGTAGGAACAGAAACCTACGCTCTTCAACGGCATTGCGCGAAGCCCGGGGGGCAGGACTGGAGCGGCCGGAGCCTGTAGGTGAGTAGACGTGTAGGTTAGTAGCAGAATCAGCGGCCATATTTTGTGCGGTGGTTGGTGTGTTTTCTGTAGGTGGATGGTAGATTACAGGACATGCTGTACCAGATGGTAGAGCTGGGTGGAATACAGTCAATGGCTGCCTACGCGGTGAAGTCAAAGTATCTGTCCACGTCTTGCCATTGTCGCAACCCGACACGCAGCGCTTCGCCAAAGCTCGGACCGTCTACCCGCGAAGTGCGACACGGGCTTTCACATGCGACGCCGTTATGACGCGCGCCACACGCGACCTCCGCCACTCCATCACCATCACCATCACCATCACCACCGCCATGACGCCTGGACAGACGGCCAGCTAACCTCTGTGGCTGATGTATCATGCACGACGCAGCGCCGGTACGTTCTGGAAGACAGCCACACATAGAATGCGGGGCTAACCATGGCAGGCCTCATACGATCCACCATCTACCCCACCTGGAGTAGATGCATCCGACCGCCATGACGACGAGGAGCCTCACGAACCGCCAATACACCTATTACTTGACGAATCTCCACATCACGACGAGCCACCGCCCTCCTACGACGATGCCATTGCGACGAGTGGTGCGCCGCCAGACTATGGCACCTTTAGCCACTTCCTTGAAGAGTCGTCCATAGCCAGCAGTGACATGGAACCCACAGATCGCGCATTACCTGAATGGCTGGGACAACTGCTAGTCGTCTTTATCTTCCTAGGTCTCGTATATGGGTTCTGGCGATTTGTCCATAGTGACGACATACCTGATGGGGGATGGCCTAGTTTCGGACCACCATCTACTTGAGCCAGGACAGAGTGCAAGAAATCACAAGATGCGGCATGTCTGTCTTTGGAGGCGCATCTTAGAGCTATTGAAACCTCTGAGCTGGTACAGGACGATGAGCCACGTATAGAGAGACCGACTGGCAGCATCTTTACAGTCGTACGACCCGAATATGAGAGGCAGAGCATGAACGTGAGCAACTAGAGGGCCTTCAGTTTTGGAAAACTACCATTTCCGCAGCTCGTACGGACCAAGGCTAGATTTCAGCTATGGGAAATTCAGTTCTAGGCAACTCGAGATTCAAAGACGAAAGTGGGAAGTGGTAGAAAGAAGAAAGCGGTGAGTGGTATCAGCATCGAGCTGAGATATTCAGCCGAACGTCAGCACTTGGATCATGCAAGGCACGAAGAGATAGCCTTTCGTCGCTGCTGGGCCATCGGGTCAGCATCATCATCAACCTAATCTGCGTTCCATCTCATAGCACATTAATAATGCTCTTTTTCATCATGCAAAAGTCTCCTCTCACAAGCCCCCACATCACATATCACCCCATGGCACACGGTTGACCCCCTTCCTCGCATGGGCCTTTTGAAATCTCCGTTAAACCCCCAAACTCCGTTCAATGACATAACTAAGCAACACCCACTTATGCCGTTAACCCCGTTTCTTTCCAGCTTTGGCGCGTCCCCACCTCCCCCAAGGGCGTCCGTCTGCTGATCTCGCTCTGCCCGAACCGCGATCGACAACCAAAAAATTAACCAAACGAACTAAAACAAAATGACTGAACTATGCACACAGCAGGAGCAACAGAACAGTATACAAAATCTACGCCCTTTTTGGACATGTGTGTGTGTGTGTGTATCTGTGTTTGCCCGTCCGCACCGACTGACGCCCGTTTGGCGCAGCCACACACACACACACACACAAAAAGGGACCCATGCATACTTACTTACTCTCTTTCTTGCCCTTTTGAAAAAAAACCTTCAAGGTAACGTACCCGACAAACGAAAAAAAAAGCTTGGGTGATCCACTCCACCGGTCACCAGTCCTTTTGTGACGACGATGCTGCTTGCGCTCAGTCCAACAAAAGCCCGCCGCACCGCACCGCGTCGCCGCGTACCAGCGTTCCCGGCACGCACACACATATATACCCCTGAGCCTTGTTTAGCAAGAAAGTTTATTTTCGGGGGCGGGCATGGAAAACATGGTACAGGATGCCTATCTGTCTTTCTCTGAAAAAAAATAGGCTTGGCTTACAAAGCGAAGGGGGGGAAGATATGGGAAGGAAGGAAGGGGTTAGGTAGGTTAGGTGGATTGACGTGAGTGCACATCCACTTTGTGTTGGCTTTTGCTAATGCTTAGTGGGAATGGGATACCGAACGCCCCAAAGTTTCCAAGTACGGGAAAGGCTTTTTTATTAACATGATTCATGCAATCCTGATCGCGTGTTCGCTGGGGGGGGGGGGGGGGTCAAAGTGGTAAGCATGTTTTTGTGTTGTTCGTACCTTTTTCGGGGCGACGGCAAAGGAAGTAAACATGGGTTGAGGGGCTTGACCTTAGTCGTCCTCTCTGTGCATTATCCGAAAGGCAAAGGGGATTTTCTGTTGTTGGGGGTCGGTCCGACTTGGAGGGAGGGGGGTAACACGTCGGGCGCGACCCCTACCCGTTCCCCTGGCTTGGGGAGGAGGAACGAGAATCCGATCGCTATTACAGAGTCGCTTGTTATTACCGCTGTGGGGATAGCGTTGGTGTGGTTTACTGGTTTAGGGCAAGGATCTGGTTTTGCTTGCTTTGGTTGCTTGGGAAGCCAGCATCTACTTGTATGCTTTGTTCATGCGTTTGCGATTAAACCTTTTCGTTGGGTGCGTTTCCCTTCAGCTCCCAAGTCTGCGGGATTATTTTGAGGCTAAGCTACCAGTTTGTGGTAATTTCCTTTTTGGCTTTTTTTTTCTTCGTTGCGCCGCTTAGCGAGGTACTCCCGCTTTACTTGTCTTTCCGCCCCGTGTGAGTAAGGCCTGCATGTAAACGTGCCAAAGGGCGCAAGGGACGAGCTGAACAAGTGGTCCGGAAAATTACTGAATCTGGAAGGATGAAAACTATACATAGACCGCTTTGCAGCCCGCAAGGTCGTTAGGTGCGAACCGTTTGACGGGCCGAAAACAAGAGGTCTTGGCGGTGATTTGGCGTACGGGCGTAGCAGGACGTTGCGGGTGAATTGTATGAATGAGGAAGGGGGGCCAGCGGTATGTAATTTCATCTGCCCTTGTGTGTGAGACGTGTATATTTTGGTGTAACCGAGCAGAATTATATGCAGGGTATCCGACTAATCATACATACCATGTGCACTTGCACTCGTCAAACATATGGTTTGTCCCTTTGATGAAGCAGACAAAGCTAGGGTAAGCGATGGTGACGACGAGCATGAGTCGCAAGTCGGATAGCAAGACAGCAGCTTTGCGCAGTCCCAAACAATGCGTATGGCGGTCACAATGTAGGCGCTGACGTCGTCGAGGCTAATTCAGCCGTCCCGACATGGGAGCAATCCACACCCAGCGCCCCGACCTCCGATACTCCGATGTTCCGAGGACAGCTCGTCTACGCCGTATTATTTTCTCAATGTGTACAAGAGTCTGGGGACTTGCAGCCCCGCCCATGTCCAAGTCCATATTTTACACAGGGAAAAACAGGGAAAAGCCGGACGCGAGCCGAAAACAATCATGCCATTTAGCCCCATGGGAAAGCAAAATCTTGCGTTCCAGACCAATGAATCATTTAAACTCGCGAGGAAGCAAGCATCCGAAAGCGGACCAAAATACACAGTGGTCTACTCGCAGTAAAGAAACATGAGCCAGATTAAGCGCAAATCAGCGAAAACAAGAAAAAACACCTCGACGCACGCGTTGCCAAGAGCCAAACGTCACGAGCAGGAGTAATAAAACGGAACATGCCGAAAAGGATGTCGACGAGAGAACAAGCAGCAAACCACCAAAAAACGCACATCGTGTTGGGTTCATCACCAATGGAATAAAATTCCCCACATATTGCCCGCTTACCCCTGCATCACAGTGCTGTCCCCTTCTCTCAGCACACACACACCCATGTCGCGCATATGCCGCAGTGCCGCTTTTACTCAGCCCGACCCTAGCAGCCAAGACAGACGACAGGGGGGGTAGGGTGGGAGGAAAGAAGGGAAAACCCAGGGCTCCACCGGCGCATAGGTAGCGCGTTATACCTTATCGGCGCTAGATGGATTTTCAATCTCGCAGCATCAAGCCTATCTGGGTAAATTTCGCGGCGTCGCGTGCGATGGAGCAAGGGGTGGGGAAAAAAGGTTGTTGTGCGGGCGGGGATGGGGGGGGGCTGGAAACTGGGTTTGTCTGTGCGTTGCCCGCTGAGCCAGCTCTCTCTTGTGGTGGACAGGGGAGAGACAAGACAACTCTTTTTGGACCCCACGACTGGCTGGCAGGGCTAGGGTGCTGGCGCGATCCCGACCGTTGGATTTAGCCCCGTGACGCGCTCGGCATGGGTTGACTACTCGTTGCTTGCGGCTTGTTTTTTTGCTGTTGCTGCTCGCCATGGCTGAAATGGGGATATCGAGGGAGGGATGGTATTTTTGGCACCGAGGGAATCCTACAGGAAGCGCCGGTATACAGTGGGATGGATTGTGCAGCGGTGTGGCTGTCCCGGCGCAGAGGTGCGGTGTTGCCGTTGCAAGGTCACGTGCCTACCCGTCGCATGATGATGGCGTTTTAGGAAATTTCGACCAAATGCACCTTCTATTGCCTTTTGCCAGAGCAATATACCGTTGGGTGTCTCGTTGTTCTTGTTGCTCGTATACCAAATGCACTCTGTCGTCTTCTTTACCTGTTTTGCCTATCTTGAACAAGTCACAAGCTCCGAGGCTTGTCCCTCTTCTTCAACCCTGCTTCTTTCTGTGATGATGGAATCGTACTTTCGTTCTGTAGTACCATCAACCATGTAGTGTACCTGCATGATAGGCGTTCCGCATCTTCATTGGCTCTTCCATGGATTACCTTTCTACCAACTCCTCTATGATCCTTACTGCATGTCGAAAATACTAAGTAACTTCTGGTTGTACACATCAACGTACTGTGAGAAATTCTACGACGCAGAGAATCATCCGTGTTATCGCCCATAGCAATGGAAAACAAAGGTAAAAAAAAGACCAAAAAAACTAATTTCGACACAGTTGTCATCTCATCTCCTTGGGCTTCTCCTCATGAGCCATTGAATAGGAAATGCACTAAGTACAAGTCAAGCCCACACCACTTACAACTGTGTCTGTATCTAGTGGACGCAACAAATCCACATGATACTGATTGATTCGGCTTTTCTAGCCGTGTAATTGCAACGAAGACACTAAACGACCCGTCGACTAAAGTTAAAAGTTCGGCCATCTTAAAATTCCTGTGTTTGTGCGATGCACTGTTGGACACATCGTCTGATGGGTTGGATGCAGCGCAGGGTTCATGCCTGTGTTTGCATGTGCAGTCTTGACAGCAAAGCCATTCACAAGACCGCATATAGCGCCCTTCGGCTTCGGCAACGTTGGACTGGGAAATAAGTGCGCGCAAAGCACGCAATTTTTTTTTTCAAATACATGCATCGTGAAGCGGGTCAGAGGTATTTTTGAACGTTCCAGATGTCTGAAGCTGATTTCACTTTGCACCTTCCTTTGTCGTCAAGATGCAGATTGTCAGTGCACATGTGTTGCCGTGTGCGGCACTAGGCTCCCTCTTGCGGAAGTTAGTCAACTCTCCGCCGGAGAAGGCTGGGCGAAAATTGGTCGAGGTTTGCATTCAGGAACAAAGTGCCCTATGCTCCCTTCTTTTCCGTGCCGCTAAGAGATGTTCCGCGCCACGTATCCACTACAGCTTGGCAGCGTGCAGCGAGCGGAATCAAACTACTTATGAAGCTGGAACCCGAGCAGACCAATCACATGCAAGCTTTGCGAGTCAACCATGTCGTTCGACCAACTTGCCCAAACAACGTTAAGACGACGGAGACTATGGACACCATGCGAACTTGGGATCTAGCCAAGAACCCAAATGGGACGGTTCGAGTCATCTCCGTCGTTATATCCGGATGTTTGCAGCGCAAAATGGTGACAGCAGAGGCATTGTGGATCCTGGGTGGCCCCTCCTGGTGAAGATGGGCAGAGGCCTGGCCGCCATGACAATCGGCCGGGACAGCGGTCGGCCGTTGATTGAGTAGACTCTGGTAGCTATCTCGTTGTGGTGACCAGAATAGGACATATGAAACTTGTTCATTCCCCATGATCATAAAAGTGGTCCGCTACTTAAGTCGGCGATATTGTCGATGGAGGCATGCACGGTGCAACAGCCGCAATGTTTTCCCAAACCCGTTGATCATCCTCAGGGTTCTTGCTATGGCAACCCCATATTCATGCACGGTCGACGTATTTATGGATTGAATATATCTACGGGTGGCTGATTGGACTGATTAATGGGCCGAAAAGATGCAG